TCTGGACATGGACACATTCTCCACTGAATAGCTGAAGGAGGTCCCTCCGTCCTGCGGGGTCCCCCCCATCCTGCGGGGGTCCCCCCCGTCCTGCAGGGTCCCCCATCCTGCGGGGTCCCCCCATCCTGCGGGGGTCCCCCCGTCCTGCGGGGCCCCCCGTCCTGCGGGGTCCCCCCCGTCCTGCGGGGTCTCCCCCGTCCTGGAGGGTCCCCCGTCCTGCAGGGTCTCTCCATCCTGCGGGGTCCCCCTGTCCTGCAGGGTCCCCCCGTCCTGCGGGGTCTCTCCGTTCTGAGGGGTCTCCCCGTCCTGTGGGGTCCTCCCATCCTGCGGGGTCCCCCATGGGGCGGGGCCGGGGCGGGCACAGGGGCGGGGCGAGGGTCCGGGGCGGGGCCGGGGTGGGGCAGGGCCAGGGGGCGGGGCGGGCTCGGGGGCGGGGTGGGCTCGGGGGCGGGGCAGGCTCGGGGCCGGGGTGGGGCAGGGGACAGGGGGCGGGGTGGGCTCGGGGGCGGGGCGGGCTCGGGGCCGGGGTGGGGCAGGGCCAGGGGGCGGGGCGGGGCTCGGGGGCGGGGCGGGCTCGGGGCCGGGGTGGGGCAGGGCCAGGGGGCGGGGCGGGCTCGGGGCCGGGGTGGGGCAGGGCCAGGGGGGCGGGGCGGGCTCGGGGGCGGGGCGGGCTCGGGGGCGGGGGCGGGCTCGGGGGCGGGGCGGGGCTCGGGGGCGGGGCGGGCTCGGGGGCGGGGCGGGCTCGGGGGCGGGGCGGGGGCAGGGCCAGGGGGCGGGGGTGGGCTCGGGGGCGGGGCGGGCTCGGGGCCGGGGTGGGGCAGGGCCAGGGGGCGGGGGCGGGGCTCGGGGGGCGGGGCGGGCTCGGGGGCGGGGCGGGCTCGGGGGCGGGTCGGGCTCGGGGGCGGGGCGGGCTCGGGGGGCGGGTCGGGCTCGGGGGCGGGGCGGGCTCGGGGGCGGGGCGGGGCAGGGCCAGGGGGCGGGGTGGGCTCGGGGGCGGGGCGGGCTCGGGGCCGGGGTGGGGCAGGGCCAGGGGGGCGGGGCGGGCTCGGGGGCGGGGCGGGCTCGGGGGCGGGGCGGGCTCGGGGGCGGGGCGGGCTCGGGGGCGGGGCGGGCTCGGGGGCGGGGCGGGCTCGGGGGCGGGTCGGGCTCGGGGGCGGGGCGGGCTCGGGGGCGGGGTGGGGCAGGGCCAGGGGGCGGGGCGGGCTCGGGGGCGGGGCGGGCTCGGGGGCGGGGTGGGGCAGGGCCAGGGGGCGGGGCGGGCTCGGGGGCGGGGCGGGCTCGGGGGCGGGGTGGGGCAGGGCCAGGGGGGCGGGGGCGGGCTCGGGGGCGGGGTGGGCTCGGGGGCGGGGCGGGCTCGGGGGCGGGGCGGGCTCGGGGGCGGGGCGGGCTCGGGGGCGGGGCGGGCTCGGGGGCGGGGCGGGCTCTTGGTGTTGCGGGGTCTCTTGGTGTTGCTCCTTGTCCATGTTGCTGTGTGGAAGCTCTGGTGTGGTGCCAGCCCCCTGCCGGTTCTTACTGGGACTTCCTGGCCACCGGACTCCCATCGGGAAGTCCCTCCCGATGTCCCCATCTTCCCATTTCTCCGCAGTCACTTTCCAAGCTGCCGCAGGCCCAAGGCGCGATCCCCGCACCGCCCTTGGTTGATTCCCGAGTCTCCCGCAGACCTCACGCCATCTCTGCCCGGCTGTAGGTTGTTCTGCAGCCTCCCTCTCTCCCAGACCTGGGGTCCTCAGCCACCCCTGGGCGGAAGCCCCCCCCCCCCCCCCCCCCCCCCCCGCCCCAGGGTGAGAAGATTGGGGAAACAGTCACCAGATCTGAGGAGAGCCCTCATGCTCGGTCCTCAGGACCCCGCGCACACCTGCTGCTCCGTGGAGCAGTTCGAACCGCCTGAAATGCGGGCCAGGCTTTCCTCCCCCGCTCCTTGTCACCCTGAGGATGGCACCCGAGCCCCCGCCGGTACCCGGGGCTCAGCCTCCCCTGCCTGTGCCTGCCCTTCCGGCCTCAGCCGCTGCCCTCGTCCACCCTGACACCGGCCGTCCCCGGCCCCCACCCACTGTCCTCACCCCTGCTCAAACTTCCCCGGCCAGCGCCACACCCAGCCAGCTCCCCCAGCCCTCCTGGATGAGAGTCCTCCTCCCCCCTCCTCCACCTCCCCCTCCTCCCCCTCCTCCCCTTTCTCCCTCCCCCTCTCCCCCCTCCTCCCCCTCCTCCCCTCCCCCTCCTCCCCCCTCCCCCCTCCTCCCCCCTCCTCCCCTTTCTCCCTCCCCCCCCTCCCCCCTCCTCCCCCTCCTCCCCCTCCTCCCCCTCCCCCCCTCCTCCCCCTCCTCCCCTTTCTCCCTCCCCCCCTCCCCCCTCCTCCCCCTCCTCCCCCTCCTCCCCCTCCCCCTCCTCCCCCTCCCCCTCCTCCCCCCTCCCCCCTCCTCCCCCTCCTCCCCTTTCTCCCTCCCCCCTCCCCCTTCCTCCCCCTCCTCCCCCTCCTCCCCCTCCTCCCTCTCCTCCCCCTCCCCCCTTTCCTCACTGACAGGCCACTGCAGGAGCCTCCCCCTGCTCCACAGCCCCAGGCCTCCCCCCGCCCACCCTGAGCAGGGGGGCTGCCAGGTCCTCACTCTAGGTCAGCTTGCACAGATGGAATTTGCTCGGTGCTGACTCTCAGGCGGGGGCTGTGCCCCTCCCTCTCCCCCCCTCCATCCTCCCCCTCCCCCCCTCCCTGACAGGCCACACAGCCACCCCCACCAGGGCCTGCTTGGGATCACTGGGGAAATAGCCTCAATTGGCCTGGACAGACCCGATCGTTATCAGGCCACCGCCCGGCCTTCCCGGGGGTCAACCGTCTCGAGAGCTCGCGGAGGGCTGCCCGGCTACCGCAGCACCCTGCTCATTATGTCTTTATATCCTGAGCTCCTCGGCCATTCTAGGACTCGTCCCTCCACAGCCCACAGCAGATGCCCACCCCGGGCCGGAGCCACCTCTCAGGCTGAGGCTCGCCTGGTGCCCGGCTGGCCTCGCGGCCCCACGGCCATGCCCCGCGATGACAGGCCCCAGCCCCCTGACCCCCCCCCCCCCTCGCTCCGGCCACTCCTTCCTGAGAAGGTCCCCAGCCTTCCAGAAAGAAGGGGCACCCGCAGGGCACAGAGCTAGCCCTGGGCGGAGCGCTGTGCGGCCAGCTGCCGCTCCCGCCCGTCCCCCGGGCCTCTGCTCCTGTGCCTCGTGGCCGCCTCACAGCCTCTCCAGCTGCGTCTGAACAGCTTCTGTGGACACAACCTCGATCGCCCCCTGGTGCCCACGGCCCGCAGGATCCTTGGCCCCAAGTCGGGTCTCCTTCAGGCCCGCCGCCCCCGACCCCCTGCTTCTGATGCCCGCCCCCTCCCGACACCCCCACTCCTGCCGCCAGACCCCTCTCCAGCCCCAGGAGGCCCCCCCGCCCCGCACCCCCCTTTCAGGCACAGGCATTCTGCTGATGGGGCTCTGTCTGCGCTCCTGTCCGAGCCCCCCTAAGAGCGGGGTGGCTGGGCAGGGACCCCGGATGGTGACATGAACAGACAGGTCAGCACTAAGAGGTTCACGGGCCGCCTGGGGCAGGGGGCGGGGGAGGGGGGCGGCCACCCCGGCCTAGGCGCAGGGCCGGCTCCAGGCCTCACCATCTCCACAAAGTTGAGCAGGGGCTCCTTGTTGTGCTGCCAGAGCCCGTACAGCGCCTCCTCGGGGGGGAACTTCACGCAGCCCAGCTCCACCGTGAGCTCGAAGCAGTTGCTGTGCAGGTAGTTGAAGTCGGACATGCCTGAGGGACAGGGCGGCCATGTCAGGGCTCCCAGGCCGCAGCCCCGCCCGTGCAGCCCCGCCCATGCCTGCTGGGGGGTGGGGGTGGGCACGGGGTGACAGAGGTCAGTGATTGGGCAGTGGGAGGCCAGCACTGGCCGCCACACAGGCTCCCACGTCCCAGTCACGAGCCCGGGGCCCAAGAGCCCACGTACAAGCACCAAGACATCCCCACACTGTCCCCACCTCTCCGGGGAGGGTGCCATCAGTGCCCGGGGAACGCAGCCTGCCACACTGCAGAGCCAGCGAGGACAGTGCCCCCCCACCCCCCTGTGCCTGACACCCCCACCAGGGCAGCGCCACTGCCACCATCACAACACAGTCCCAGGCTGCGTGCACGTGTCCACGGAGTCCTCCCAGCTGCCTGCCGCCACAGGGACCCCCGCTGGCCTCTCCCATCACCTGCCCCAGAGGTGTTGGCACGCGCCGGTCATACAGGCCAGGGGATCCACTCCCGGGGCTGGGTGAGAGAGCGGCAGCCCCGCTCTGGGGAAAGCGGAGGTCACCGAGGCCTGCTGGTGGCGTCGCAGCGCGTGGCCCACGTGTGCAGGAGAGGCTGAGCGTGAGGTCCCCCCCGGCCACGCCCAGCACAGGCCTAAACCTGCCGTTCTATCATCCTCATGCAGGGGGGCACGGTGACCAGAGAGCAGATATCGGGGGGCTGGCTCGTGAAGGTATGTGGTGGGCCCAGCGATCACCTCATACCCACGTCCACCCGGGTTGCTGCTGCAACCTTCCAGGAAAACACGGGGGTGGGGGGAAACTGAGTCACAGACAAGGAAGTCTCCCGTGGGCCCCTGGGTATTTTTCCAGCATAAGCACAGCCCGGGTGGGGCTCTGCTTACCAGCACCCGAGTCTTCGTCTGGTGATGCGTTTCTCTCTGGAATGCCAGTTTCACGGGGCTCTGGCATTTCATCTGGCTACACTGCCCTGCCCCGCTCTGCCGGTGAGCCCGCTGCCTGCCCTCCCCCCCTCCCCCCCCTCCTGCCCCGCCCGTCCCTGCCCACCCCAGCAGGCCTGCCCACCCCAGCAGGCCTGCCCGCCCCAGCAGGCCTGCCCACCCCAGCAGGCCTGCCCGCCCCAGCAGGCCTGCCCGCCCCAGCAGGCCTGCCCACCCCAGCAGGCCTGCCCGCCCCAGCAGGCCTGCCCACCCCAGCAGGCCCACCTCCGGTGAAGCTGTACCAGTCGGCCCCGTTGATGATGCTGCCATGCTTCAGGAAGTTGCCTCCACACCTGTTCTCCGACCTGTCCATCATCATGGGGTGGACGTCCGCATAGGCTCTGGCCAGCAGCTTGAACATCTGGAAAGGGCATGGAGGAGGACGTTCCCTTGCAGGCAGGCCCGGGAGGGAAGCTCCAGCAGACAGCGTCGGAGCCGGTGCCCGGGGCACGCGGAGGGGCGCCGGCTCAGCCCCGGCACACCAGGCCGGAAGGGTGGGCCTGGGCCGAGAGGAAAGGCACTGTGCCCACACCGATGGGGCCCTGAAGTCAGCTATTTGTTTGTTTTCTCGCACTGGTCCTTGGGTCTGAACTCAGGGCCTGGGCGCTGTTCCTGAGCTTTTAAGTTCAATACCATTGGAGCCACAGCTCTGTTTTTGGCTTGTTGGTAGTCAATTAGAAATAAGAGTCTCCTGGACTTTCCCGCCTGGCTCCAAACCTCCATCCTCAGGCCTCAGCCGCCTAAATAACTAGGATGACGGGCGTGAGCCAGCAGTGCCAGGCTGTCAGCTTTGCAGTTTATAAAGTGAGTGGAGGCCCTGCTTCCGAGGACCTCATCTCCCTGCACTTCATTCATCTATAAGCAAGCAGGACTCCCTGGGGATGATGCTCACACACCCCCTGTTGGTCCCCTGGTGCCCGAAGCCCCTCCCTGACCCTCTGCTGTGGTGGAGAGCTGCCCTCCCCCACACCAGCCACGGTGTGGGCTCCTGGCAGGACCCCTCCCCAACACAGAGCTTCCTGCACAAAACCTCCTCCTCTGAGCCGGGTCCAGGTCTCTCAAGTCCCGGCCATCTGAAAGTCCCCGCCAGGCCCGGAGCCTGCCCGGGTGGACGGTCCACACAGTGTGATGGAGTCCGGGCCTCCTGGGCCAGGCTGTCGGGGCACAGCCCGCCCGTGCTTCTCCAAGCCAGAGCCAAAGTCCGAGCCCCAGATGTGGGGATGGGTGCATAAACCCTGGGCTGAGCCCAGACGCCACGCACGCGGCAGCACTGCCCCCTGCTGGCAGTGTCTGGGTCTGCACCCTTCCCCGGCAGGTCCTCACCCAGAGTGCTCGCTCACAGGCAAGGACAGAGTGGGGACTTCCGGAAAGAGGCTGTGACCAGAGACCGGAGGCGTCACGGAGCTCAAGACAGGACAGTGCCGGCTGGAGGACCACCGGCCCCCCCTCACCTTCTCATCGGGCGTGGGAGAAAACATCTTCCTCTGGAGAGGGTTCTTGGAGTAGTCGAAGGGGTAGGAGACCACCAGGTCGCCCCCCGTGCAGGCTGGCGGAGAGCACGAACGGGGCGCTCCGCATCCACTTCATGATGGCCTTGGTCTCGGGGGCCACCTGCGGGGGAGGGGCCGCCCTCGTACCCGGCCCCCAGGCTCCCTGCACGGAGACCTCGGGGCCCACGCCAGGCCCCACGCCAGGCCCCACGCCAGGCCTGCCCGGGGCTTTCCTCCCAGCCTCTGGGAACGTCACCCTCCAGGTGGCCAGCTCACAAACCAGACACAGATTCAGAGGGACCCGGCGCTCCTACCTTACCCCACCAGTAGTCCTGTGGGATGGGGATGTGGTCAGGGCGCGCGCCCCGCACCGAGGCCAGCCGGTAGAACTCGGACGTCAGGTCCGGGAAGTTGCGGTTCAGGTCAAGGTTCTGTGCATTCTGCCTCCCACTCGTCCACCCGTTATAGCCAGCACCCTGAAAACACAGGCCGGCCCGTGAGGGGCCTGCACGTAGCACCCGCTCCTTCCAGGAGGCCTGCAGCGGGAGGCCGAGGGTCCGGCCGGGGCCGCCATTTCCCTCTGGCTTTATGCAACTGAGCTCAGGGGCGGCCGGCCTGGCACCTGGAATGGCTGCCCTGGCCCTGGCCCAGCCTCCTGCTCCTACCTGACCCTCCCCACCCTCCGGCCCGGAGACCCCATGCCGCTCGCTCCGCCCCCCACAGCTCGGCACCACCCCAGTCCTTGTGAACCCCCTTTTTCTCTGTAGCATGTGTCACCTTCTGAGTGCACGGAGGAGTCTATGCTCACCCCTCCTGCCCTGCAGGCCAGACCTGGCCAGGGCTGGTGTCTGCGGAGCCTGCTCCACCCACCGCAACCGTGGGCACACACCGTGGGCCTGAACAACTGTGTATGCAGCAGGGAGGGTGCCCAGGGCAGCGGGAGAGCCCACCTCTGCCGCGGCCACCTCGTAGCCGTCAGGGTTCATGGAGGGCAGCAGGTGGATGCGGGTGGTGTTGAGCAGGCGCTGGATGCGGGGATTGCCCAGCAGGTACTCGGAGCACAGGTACTGGGCCAGGTAGATGAGCAGCTCCCCGGCCTGCCACCCTCGTTACCGTGGATGTTGCCAATGAGCTTCACCTCAGGCTCCACTGCGGGGAGAAGGCCGGGGTCCTCCCATCACAGACACCTCCCCAGAGCCCAAGGCTCCTGCCTGCACTTTGACCCTGAGCCTTGGGGCACCCTGAGGCCTCACGAAGGCGCCACTTCCGTGGAGCTCATTCCTTAGGGTTAGCCGGTTATTAGCACGGCAAACCGGACACCGGTAACCATATGCAATATTGCTGATGGATGTGACCTTCACGCTTGTGTGACAAGTCAAGCACACTGATGCTTGGCTGGGAAGGCCACAGTCCATGTGATTGCTGCAATGAGATGGACAGATGGACATGGATGGACTGTAGAGAGTTGATGGGTGAGTGGATAAATAGGTAGATGGACGGATGGCAGGATGGATGGATGAATATGGATGGGCTGTAGAGTTGATGGGTGAGTGGGATAAATGGATATCAGGATGGATGGATGAATGGATGGATGGATAGATGGATGGATGGATGGATGGATCAGTGGCTAGATGAACGGATGGAAGGATGGCTGGATGGATGGTGGAGGTGGAAGGATGGTAGGTGATGGATGAACAAATTGATGGATGGATGAAAGGCTACATAGGTGAGTGGGTGGGTAGATTAATAGATGAGTGGGTAGATGGATGGGTAGATTGATGATGATGGATGGATGAAAGGATGAAGGAAATGAGTGAAAGGGTGGATGGATGGGGAGATGGATAGGTGGCTGGATGGAGGGATAGAAGGAAGAATTGATAGGTGGCTGGATGGAGGGATGGTGGATGGATGAATGACAGGATAGATGGGTGGTGGCTGTGTGGACGGGTGGTGGATGAGAGGAGGCGTTTGGGTGGTAGTGAATAGTGTGGATGGATGGGTAGTGGATGGATGGATGGTTGTTGAAAAGCACGGCCCAGCAGCGTGGTTCACTGTGTTGCTGTAGACAAGAGGCCCTTCCTGGTGGGGTCTCCTGGTGCCCAACTGCAACGTGGGGTCTTCACCCCCCAGCAGCTTCAGCTCCGGGCCTGAGCACCCTTGACTTCACATTGCATGTCTCAGGGCGGCTGACTTCCACGCCGGTCACCTCCCTCGGCCCTCCACAGGGACGTGGACATCGGAGGCCAGATGCAGCCGATGCCCTGACCCTCTGCAGGAGAGGGGCTTTGGGTCTACAACACTGTTGTTGTCTGGGTCAGTAAGATAAACTCTAGGCTGGGGTGGGCAGCGTGGCAGAGTCCTGAGTCGCCTGGCTGGGTAGCATGTGGGGCTGGAGAGGAGTGGGGAGGTTCTGGGGTGGTCCTGCGTGAGCAACACGGCTGTGGGCAGGCTGGGCTGGGGGCGGGGGCCGGGGGCCGGGAAGGGCCCCACCCACCCCAGGACAGGGCCACACAGCTCTCAGGACTCGGGGATGGGGGCATCCCAGACACACCTCACAGGAAAGGGAGGTGCCTCAGCCAGGGGCTGAGTCTGTTAGAACATTCTAGAGGCCCAGATACAACCCATCAAAGTGCTTCTTCCACAACTCAGAGTGGGCAGCAGATACACTGTGGGAAGGTGTGAGTTTCTACAGGCTGAACAGAGGCCGCGTTCCCACAGGGCTGTCCCGGTGTGAGTGCGGTAGTCACACCATGCTGCGGGTGGCACTGTCACAGCCAGGCAGAGAGGAGGGGACACAGCCAGGATGGGGACATCTAAACCCCGCCCGGGCCGGGGCCCAGAGGCCCGCGCGGTGCACAGCGTCAGGGTCGCGGGTGCGGGTGCCCTGCCCCTGGCGTCCTCTCTGTGACCTGCCCCCTCCTCCCCCCCGCCTGCGGACCACCCCCCGCGCTGGACCGGGGCTCCCCAGCTCCCCATCCTCAAGCCAAATGGATGAACGAGGGACCCCTCCGTTTTTAGGAGGCCATTCCCTGGGATGTGGCCCACACCCAGCTCCCCAAATTACCTGCCCCCCAAGGCCCAGTGGGCCCAGAGCCCTTCCTGGAGATACAGCCCTGTGGAGGCCCCTGACACTCACACAGCTCGTGCTGCCCGGGGCGGCTCGAGAACTCAATGACCAGCAGGTCCTTGCCGTCGAAGCTGCGCCCGATGCTGTAGGTCCTGGCCACCTCGGGGCAACGGGCAGCTGTCCGCTTCAGCACCCGCCACGGGCAGCTGTCCGCTTCAGCACCCGCCCCATCTGTGCATAGGAGTGATGGGCGAAGCGGATGAAGGCGGGCGGCAGGCCCGAGGGCGGCTCCTCCTCCACCTCCAGGTCCCCTGGGGGAGGCAGAGAAGCCGGGTTGGGGGGAGAAGCTGGGTTTGATCTAGAGTAGCTGGGATCTGTCTGGAGAAGCTGGGGCTAGGCTGGAGATGCTGGGGTTTGATGGGAAAAGCTGGGTTGGGCGGGAGAAGCTGGGTTGGGTGGGAGAAGCTGGGGTTTGGTGGGAGAAGCTGGGGTTTGGTGGGAGAAGCTGGGTTGGGCTGGAGAAGTTGGGGTTTGGTGGGAGAAGCTGGCTCAGTCTGCCCTGCTGGCCTCCCCCCTGCTCTCCAGGGATGCTCAGCCTCTCCCCGCATCCTGATCCCTGACCCACACCTCACTTCAGTCCCCTGTGGGTTTGGGGGGTTCCCCACACATCCCACTTGGACGGCACTGCCAGCCTGTGGAACATCCTGTCTGTGACACTTAGAACAGCGTCAGCAGGCTCGACGGCTCCGCTTCCCACACAGAGAACGCAAGGTGGCTTTCGGGGTGCAGAGCAGAGGAGGTGCCCCTCGGAAATCCTGGGCTCATGGAGGGCTGCCACCCTCCTCTAGGCCTCCGGGATCCGATGCCGCCCTGCTGCCACCCGGCACTGACGCAGGCTGAGCTCTACCCGCTTCTTGGCGCCGTGGTGGGAGCTGTGCCGTTACCAGCGTGGATCCCGGAGCAGGACCCGGAGCAGCTCACAGGCTACGCACATGCGGACGCTGCCGTCCCCGCTCCCGGGCCGTCCCATGGGGGCGAGGGGGGAGACCAGGGGCAGGCCCAGTGGGACCCTCAGCCCCTGCAGCTCTTCCTGCTCCCCTGCTTCTCCCTTCAGTCGTGGCCGCGGCCCTGGGCGGGGGGCACTCTCCTTGCCCTGAGACCCCCAGAAGCCCCAGGCAGCTCCCCCACCAGCCCCGGGGCCACAAAGAGTTAATGTGCTTCCCTGAGACTCCCTGGCTGGCCTGTGGGTTTTTTTTATTGTTTTGTTTCCACCGCTCAAAATGGTTGTTGAGCAGAAAGAAAGTAGGTGGAACTGGCAATTTGGTGACAGAGATGCCCAAAATAATTTCCCCGGGGCAGCATCCCCCGGGCCTTCGGGGGGGGGGGGGGCAGCAGGCGGGGCCCACTGTGGAGCCGCCCGGTCTCGTTTGACCCCCCCACGCAAGCCGGGCTGGGGCGGCCTCTGCCGCCAGCACACACCACCCAGCTGCCCACACGCTTGCCCTTCTCAAGGCTCTGAGCTCCTCCATCTGCCTCCAGACACAGAGACAGCAGCACACAGCTGACTGGTCTCTGGGGACACACTGATGTCCCCTGCCCCCCCCCCCACGTCCCAGCACCGAGCTATCTGAGAAATGGACGAATCAGTTCCTCCACCCGCAGCCAGCCTGGCCCCTCAGCAGAGCCCCTGGGCCACACGCCCCTCCGCAGACCCCACTTCTGAGATCAAGGAGTGCGGTGACACAGGCTCTGGGCCTGGCTGTGGGCTGCGGCGCCCAGCGGGCACACGGGCCATGCAGGCTCCCTTCACGCCGGCTTAAACTCATGACAATGAAGCAGAACGAAAGCACCCAAGCCAGGCCTCACATTCCACGCCCAGCTGGCGGCTCCAGGCCCGGACGCCACCTAAAGGCACGGGCCCATCACAGACGGCAGAAGCCCCCGGCACCCGTCCTGGGATGAGCAGCTCACCGCTGCCCAGGGCTGGCCGGCCACGGCCACCAGCGGGTCCCAGAAGCAACTGCAGCCATCTCCCCACAGCTCCACACACATGCCTGGTCCCCAGAGCTGCTGCTGCTGCCTGTGGCCCCATCTCCCACCCCATGACCCTCGAGGCCCCCGTGGCTTGGCCTTGCTTACCCCGGAGCAGCTCCAGGGGATCAAAGCAGCCATCCTCCTCTGGGGCGAAGTAGCGGGCACAGTCCAGGAAGTAGGGCCAGGCCATGTCGATGGCGTCGAAGGCCGGCCGGCAGGCCTCCCGCAGCCCCTCGCAGACGCGCCGGCAGGGTCTGCGCACGCGGCCGCCCTCACACCTGGGGGCCAGCACGGCGCAGCCCAGCAGCCGCAGGTCCGGGTTGCACTGCCCCTCCAGCAGGTGGTGCAGCACGCCCAGCAGGATGTACTCAAAGCTGAACTCCACCGCCTCCCGCGACCGGTGCTCCAGGGGTGTGGGGAAGGCCGTGCGGTTGTAGGCCGTGCCAGTGCATGTCCTGAGCTGCAGGTCCACGCAGGTGGCTGGGGGACAGGGGGAGCGGGTCACGCGGAGAGCTGGGACCTGGCGGCCCCCACCCAGGGGTGGTAGCAATGACATCAGCCAAACGGGGACCAGGGGGAGCCGGCCCTGGTGAGGGGTGGCCGGCAGACCGGCAGACACTGGAACAAGCTGAGGAAGACAGCCGCGAAGCAGAGTCTCCAAGGACCTGCTCACAGCCGCGGGTGGAGGACTGGGCTGGGCCCTCTCGGACCCACGAGTTTGGGCTCAGAACCTGGATGAGAAGCCGGGTCGGCAGCCGGGTGGCAGGCCTGGCCCCGCTGCGCACCCCCAGGACAGCGAAGGCCCAGGCAGAAGGAAGCAGAGGCTCCTAACCTTGGGCAGTTGTTTTATTTTTGCTTTGGAGCCCGTGCTGGGCTTGCTTGAACTCAGGGCCTAGGCACTGTCCCTGAGCTTTTTGGCTCAAAGCTAATACTCCAGCACTTGAGACACAACTCCACTTCCAGTTTTGTGGTGGTTCATTGGAGAGAAGGGTGTCATGATCATGCAGGCTTTGAACCGTGATCCTCAGACCTCAGCCCCTGGAGTAGCTAGGATTACAGGCGTGAGCCACCAGTGCCTAGCTTCTTGGATGTTTTTGTGTCTATCGTGGTTATTTTTGCAGCACCAGTGCAGATGGGCTCCAGCCGCTTTACCTCTCAGGCCCTCGGCCACCGGCACGGCCCGCACAGGAGCTCAGGCCACATCCCCACATCAACCACTCCTCCCACCCGTCAACCACACCACATGTGTCAGCTTGGAGTACAAGGCTCGGAGTTTGCCACTTTCCTTGTCAAAGCTTAGAATGTCAGGGCTGTTTGCACTCAGCCTTCCCTGATCAAAACACTTTACCAGCAGGGTGCCGGCAGCAGCTCATGACTACAATCCTTGCCACTCAGGAGGCTGAGATCTAAGGGTCTCAGTTCAAAGCCAGCCAGAGCAGGAAAGTTCAGAAAAGTCTAAAGACTCTTATCTTCAATTAACTAGCAGTGAAGGTGTGACTCAAGTGGTAGAGCACCAGCCTTCAGCAAAAAGCCAAGTGAGCTACAGGCCCTGAGTTTAAGCCCCACTACTGGGGTACATGTGTGTGTGTACAACACACAGATATATACACAGACACACACGCATGCATACACATATGAATTCATACACACACATACACAAATGCGCACACACACAGAGTCTACCTGCCTACAGCGCTGACCTTTGTATGGGGAAAGTTTTTCCCGATGGTTGCCTCTCAGCCCTCCACGTACACATATCACTGCTCAAATCTGACAGCCAGTGTGTTTGCCTCTGGAGAGCCAGCCTTGCCCTCAGCATGAGCCAGGGCACTTTGGATAGGTACATTTCAAAACCATTCAATGAACCAAATGCTAGGATTACACCTGTAATCTATTTAGGAGGCTGAGATACGGAGGCTGATCATTTGGCACCAGCTCAGGCAGAAAGATAAAGATCCGCTAGACTCCATCCCAGAATAACCAGCGGCAAGGCCGGCTGGGTGTGCGGCTCAAATGGTGAGCAGCACGTTACACAAACACAAGGCCCTGAGTTCAAACCCTGATATGGGGGGGCAGCACCCCAAGAAAGAAATGTACAATACACAAGGCATTGATTCAGTGCCTTCTGCTTCAAGGCACTGACATCTAGAGCTGAGCCGGAGTCCGAGGCGGGCAGAGGCTGTCTGCAGGGGTGAGCCCGTGGGCAGAGTGGGGGCTGGGAGGCCAGAGGGGGAGAGGGCTGAGGGGGTCTGTGCCCTTGGACTCGGTCTGATGGAAAGCCGGGGCTGGGGTGCGTGTGAGGGTTAGGGAGGGTGGTACGTACCGCCGCCGTCTGCTTCCACGGCCTGCGGACAGTCACCTGGGGAGGGAAAGGCCTTGTGAGCCGGATGGTGGGGGGCGGCCCTGCTCCACCTCCACCTGCCCAGGCCTGCCTGAGCCGCCCAGCTTTTCCCAAGTGCTGCCCTGCAGGCCCCCACCACGTCTGGGCCGGTCAGCGCCTTCGTGTGGAGCAAGGACGCATCCCCCGGAACCGTCCCCAGCTCCTCTCACAAGGGTGCTGACCACAGCCCCTCCCAGGCCACGGAGGGCTTTCCACCCCCAGGGTCTCTGCGAGAGTGTGGGCTCACGCCTGTAATCCCAGCTCCTCGGAAGGATGAGATCTGAGGATGGTGGGTCAAAGCCAGCCCGAGCAGGAAAGGTGGTGAGATGCTTACTCTAATAAACTACTCAAAAAAAGCCAGGCATGGAGGTATAGCTTAAGAGGTAGAGCACCAGCCTTGAGCAAAAAGCTAAGGGAGGGAACAAGACCCTGAGTTCAAGTCCCAGTATCAACAAACAAATAAATGTGGGGGATCTCGCAGCTGCGTTGGGGGGCCCTCTCCCCAGAAAACAAAGGGATCGTGACACAAAACCCTCCCCAAAGCCCAGCCTGGGGGGCGGGAACCTCACTGCAAATCCCAGGAGAGGCAGAAGCCAGCACAGGTGCCCGCGGGACTCCCCGGGGGCCGGCCAGCCTTTTCGGCTCCCGTCTAGGCGCGTCTGACTTGCAGCCATATTGCCGTCTCTTCCTCCTCGTGTGGTGCTGGGCTGGGGGCTCCCTAGCTTTCACCTGCACAGGTGCTGTTTTCCACAGCCACCAGTTGTTGAATTCGAGCCTCCCTCCCTGCCCACCCTTTGTCGGTCATGGGGCTTGAACTCTGGGCCTGGGCACTGTCCCTCAGCTCTTCAGCTCAAGATGAGCGCTCTACCACTTGAGCCACAGCACCACTTCCTGTTTTCTGGTGGTTTAATGAAGATAAGAGTCTCTCAGACTTTCCTGCCCCGGCTGGCTTTGAACCATGATCCTCAGACTTCAGCCTCCTGAGTTGCTGGGATTCGAGGTGTGAGCCACCAGCGCTCGGCTTGAGCCTCTCTTTTTGTGGCGGACAGGATCGGGCCGAGAGCCACCAGCAGGCCTCTGTGGCTGCTGCCCTGGCCACCATGGGTTTGGAGAGGCGGGTGGGATGGGGGCCAGGGTGCTCACACAGCTTGCCAACTACAGCGTGAGGTGGGCCTGGCCCCGCTGGCTGCGTTTCTCTGCACCTGATTTTCATCCACAAATCAGGAGATGGACCAGCTGACCCGCGTTGCTCTCGGCTCTCCACATCTGCCTGACTTGTGGGAGCCGGGGACTCTTCAGGGATTGTTCCTCTCTGCCCACCCACGAATACTCTGAGATGTGCCCAGATACTTGGCTCCCAGCAGCCTTGGGGGGCGGGTATGACAGACGGGTCCCCAGGGGATCTAAAGCCACACACTCCTGCCCAGCAGCCACAGGCCAGACCATGAAGTACCTGAAAGGCACAAGTCCAGACTAAGGCTGCCGATGAGTATAAACAGGCAAGCCTAGTTGCACACTCAACATTAACAAGAAACACGAAGTATTTCATGAGTACATTTTTTGGCAGAGTTTGCACCCAGGTTCTTGTACTTGCTAGACAGGTGCTCCCACACCCTGGGCCACGCCCCCAGCCTTTGGTGTTCCTTTAGTTGCCTTTCTGATAAAGACTCAAGTTTTGACCCGGGGGCCAGCCTTGGACCTCCATCCTCCTGCCTTTACCCACAGAGTGGCTGAAATTACGGCCGTGCATTGCCACACGTGGCTAACACATCATTTCTGCGTTAACGAAAAAAATATGTGAATAACATTTTGGATGTGTTGCTCGAAATCTGTGTTTTTAAATTAGCTTCTTATCTTTCTTTTCAAGTGGCTATTGAACTGTGTCAAATTAAGAATGTGGTTAGGTTGTTACAGGTCTGAAAAAAAGACTTTTTAGCTGTTCACACGCTAGATCTCTCCTGAACACCAGGGGGCAGCGTTTCCTCAGCCCCTTGATGGAGATTCCCCCCCTCCCTCCCTCCCTCCCTCCCTCCCCTCTCCAAGGGCCTAGAGCTGGCTCCTCGGGCCAGGTGACCTCTAATGAAGGAGGCAGCCGTGCGTCAGGGTGGTCAGGAAGGTCAGGACGTCAGGCCACCTGCCCCTCACACAGCTGAGGACAGGAGCCAGGTGTGCCCCGGATGTGAGGCGCACCAAAGAGACAAGCCCAGGGAAGAAGCCAGGCTTGTATGAGTCCTGGCAAACGGGGGCAGGGGCAGAGGGGGGCAGCCGTGGCCACTCTTGGCAAGGCAGCAGAACTGAACACCCAGCCCTGCCCTGGTCCTGCCGGGGTGGGGGGGGGGGTCTGTATTTCCATCCATAAGTAGAGGGAGAGGGGAGCCCAGGAAGAGCGGCTCATTCCAGAAACTCCCTGGAGCCAAGTGGGGTTCAAGGAGCCCCAGGAGGCGGGCTCCCCTGCCCTGCTGCCTGGTGAGGGACATGGGGCCACTACCCAAGCCCAAGGAGGGGCCAGACCACCCCCCAGCACACCCTGCAGAGAAGGGTCAGGAAGGCAGGCTCCTGGCCCGACCCCTCCCCCACAGGTGACTACTGAGGCCGCCTGGGCTCCCCAGGTCCCAGGTGCCCCTCCACCACAGGGCCCGTGCATGCCCAGGATCACAGGTGGAAACACCTGTGAGTGCGTTTCTGCAGAAGAAGGGGGGCAGGCCAGGAGGAGGGGGAGGAGGGGGAGGAGGGGGAGGGGGAGGAGGAGGAGGAGGAGGGGGAGGAGGAGGAGGAGGAGAAGGAGGAGGAGGGGGAGGAGGAGGAGGGGGAGGAGGAGGAGGAGGGGGAGGAGGAGGAGGGGGAGGAGGGGGAGGAGGGAGAGGAGGGGGAGGGGGAGGAGGAGGAGGGGGAGGAGGAGGAGGAGGGGGAGGAGGAGGAGGGGGAGGAGGGGGAGGAGGGAGAGGAGGGGGAGGGGGAGGAGGGGGAGGAGGGAGAGGAGGGGGAGGGGGAGGAGGGGGAGGAGGGGGAGGAGGAGGAGGGGGAGGAGGGGGAGGAGGGAGAGGAGGGGGAGGAGGGAGAGGAGGGGGAGGGGGAGGAGGGGGGGAAGGAGGAGGAGGGGGAGGAGGGGGAGGAGGGAGAGGAGGGGGAGGAGGGAGAGGAGCGGGAGGGGGAGGAGGGGGAGGAGGAGGAGGGGGGAAGGAGGAGGAGGGGGAGGAGGGGGAGGAGGGAGAGGAGGGGGAGGGGGAGGAGGGGGAGGAGGAGGAGAAGGGGGGAGGAGGGGGAGGAGGAGGAGGGGGAGGAGGAGGAGAAGGGGGAGGACGGGGAGGAGGGGGAGGAGGGGGAGGAGGGGGAGGAGGGGGAGGGGGAGGGGAGAGGAGGAGGGGGGAGGGGGAGGGGGGAGGAGGGGGGAGGGGGAGGGGGGAGGAGGGGGGGAAGGAGGAGGAGGGGGAAAAGGGGGAGGAGGGGGGGGAGGAGGAGGAGGAGGGGGAAGAGGGGGAAGAGGGGGAGGGGGAGGAGGAGGGGGGAGGGGGAGGAGGAGGGGGAGGAGGGGGAGGAGGGGGAGGGGGAGGAGGGGGAGGGGGAGGAGGAGGAGGAGGAGGGGGAGGGGGAGGAGGAGGAGGGGGAGGAGGAGGGGGGGAGGAGGAGTGGAGCCTGGCACCGCACACACGCTGGGCAGGGGCAGGCAAACCCCCAGGGGCCACCCCAACCCCAGCTAGGACTCCCTCTGCCCTCTGGGCACACAGGCATCCGCTGCTGCTGCTGCTGCTGCTGCTGCTGCTGCTGCTGCTGCCAACCCTGGGGTGAGGACTGGATCACCACAGGCCACCCAGGGCAGGAAGACGCCACCCCAGGAGGGCAGGACCAAGCCCAGGCACAAGCCCTCCCAGGTGCCCCCGGGATCTTGCTGCCCTTCCCCCTCTCAGCCCCATACCCCCAAGGGCCTACTTCCGGTAAGCTGGCCTGGCTGGAAGGGAGGGGTCGGGAGTTTGCGTGGCGGGGTGCCATTCCGTTCCTGGAAGGCCCCGGACCTCAGATGGCCTCTGGGCCGTGAATTGCTGGCACCTGCTGCTGAGGCCCACCTGCGGGGGCTCAGGATCCTCAGCACTGTGGGTGCCCTTCCTCCTCCCTCCCCCATGTCCCCCCACCCCCAGCCTTCCTGCACCTAGACAGCCAGGAGCCTGGGGCAGAGATGGAGGGCACCCACAGGGCCGTTCTCACTGATTGCCGCAGACTGACTGGGAGAGCCGTCTTGGGGATGGAGGGGCGTCTCCCGCAGGGCTGCAGCTGGGGGTCCTTACCGGCGGGGGCCCCGGCGAGGGTCGCAGCCGGGGCGCGCAGCGCAGGCCAGGCCCAGGGCAACCAGCAGCAGCGGTGGCGACAGCATGGTGGGCACACGCAGGCGGTGGAGGCGCCGTGATGTGGCACTCGGGCCCGGCGTCCCGACGCTGCTGCGCGGCTCCACGGCCGGGCGGAGGGGGGGGGGCGGGGGGGCTCCCTCAGCGAGGAGCGCAGGAATCGGGTTACAGTGGGCAGCACCAGAAACCGGAGAAGGAATCCCGCCGCGCTGGCTCCCCCTGGGAGGGCGACCTGCCCGCGCAGAACCGGCCTCTCCCCACGGATCGGCGCACTCAGCCCCAAATTCTTGGCTGACCTGACCCACCTGAGAGCCCAGGTGTGGACAGAGGAGGCGCCGGAGCCAGAGGCAAGCGAGTGTCCCCTGCCTGCCCTGCCCTGCCCTGCCCTGCCCTGCCCTGCACACCGAGAGGTGCCTTCCGAGGAAGATTCCAGGTGGGAAGAGGCAGGCCAGCTCCGCCAGGGGCCACGGAGCCTGGGTGGTGGGTGGCACTCTGCCATGGCGGCCGGACCCAGCCAGGAGCTGAGCCAGGGCTCAGGGTCCTCACACACCCACCGAGGGTGAGGGGGTTCATGCAGGGAGGGTTCACAGGACTTGGGTCTGAACCCTAGACCTCAGCCACCACAGCCATGACCCTAGCCCTCTCCCCCTTGGTTATGGTGGGGCGCGGTGCAGGGGTGTCTGAGGCAGGAAGGGGTGTCTCAGGTAGGAAGGTGTGTTTCTTTCCCAGGTCAGCCTTGGACTGTGACCCCCTGCCAACACCCCCCGTGTAATGTAGCGGGGTGTGTGTGCGGGGGGGGGGGAGTCATAGGTGTGCACCATGCACAGTTATGGTGATTTGAGGCCGGGCTGGCAGCAGCTCTGGGGGTGCCCCGGGGAGAAGAGGGTGCCGGCATGGCCTCCAGACCTGGGTGCCAAGACCAAGTGGGGCTCCCTCAGCGGCTGCCCCACTTCCCAAGCCCAGGGCTCTGGGATGGGGGAGTTGGGGTCGCATGCAAGGCGTGGGCAACAAGTAGAGCAATGAAGGAGCCCTTTGTCCTGGCTCTCAGCAGGGCGGGGCAGCAGGTGGGCGGGGCAGCAGGTGGGCGGGGCAGCAGGTGGGCGGGGCAGCAGGTGGGCGGGGCAGCAGGTGGGCGGGGCAGCAGGTGTTAGGGCAGGGCAGCAGGTGGGCATGCTGGCTGGTTTGGCTGTTGGCTTGGTTGATGGTTTGTTTCCTTCCCTCCCTTCCTCCCTCCTTCTCTCCCTCTCTCCTCTCCTTCCCTCCCTCTCCTTTCTTTCTTTCTTTTTCTTTCTTTCTCTCTCTCTCTTTCCTTCCTTCCTTTCTTCCTTCCTTCCCTCCCTTCCTCCCTTTTTCTTCCTCCCTCCCTCCCTCCTTTTCTCCTCCCTCCCTCCCCTCTGCCCCTCCTCTTTCCTGCACTGCTGGAGGTAGAACCCAGGCCTTGCTCAGGCTAGGCCATCCCTCTTCCAAGCCTCCCCACCCCCCTGGCCCTTAACATTTTCAGCCGCTTCCCGGCTATGTGCCCACAGTTACTGTCATTTCTAAAATAATTTTACTTGAGTCACATGTGGTGATTTACTTGCTGCCCCTTTCAGGGAGCCTGAAGACTCTGGAGGGCGCCTGGCTGGGTGGAGAAGAGCGGGCAGGCCCACTCCTGCTGAGCCCTGTGGTTTCTTCCAGGAGGGGAACCGGCCGGCCGGCCGTGGAGCTGTAGATGTGCTGCACACGCAGGCTCCGTTACCCTTGAGGGGCCACTGTGAGGCCCCAACAGAATGCGCCATGGGCGGGTGCTCAGTCGTACAACCCACCCACGTTCTGCAGGGGACACATGCGTGTGTGCACACAGATACATCAGCAGACACCACACACACAGATCTGCTCACCTGTGTGCACACATGCACACCATGCAAGTGTGCAGATGCACACACTTGAACACACACACACACACACACACACACACACACACACACACGGGCTCTGGATGGTTGGAAGGTTCCAGAACCAAGCACAGCTGGGACACTTCACTTCCCAGGACAGTGGCTCCAGCACGCTCTCCGAGCTCCCGGCTCTCTGTGAGGTGTGACATGTCGGCTCCTGGGATGACGGACGGGCCCTGCAGCGCTGGCCCCGGGGGCAGACCCTGCCTCTCACCATGGTCCATGGCCTGCCATCTTTCCCTGCCTTTGCCTACTCCAAACCTTGGCCTGGGTTCTGGCAGCTGAGTTGCTGGTGGGTAAGGCCACCCAGGGGCCGCCAGGGCTAAGGGTTCCAGACCACCCAGCTTCTTCACCTGGAGCTCCTCCCGCAAATTGCTCAGGTCTCAGAGTGGGAGAGGGGAAGGACTGGGCTCCGGTGGGCGGAGCCAGCAGGGAGGGGTGGGGCTGGGCTCCGGTGGGCGGAGCCAGCAGGGAGGGGAGGGGCTGGGCTCCAGTGGGAGGAGCAGCAGGGAGGGGAGGGGCTGGGCTCCGGTGGGAGGAGCAGCAGGGAGGGGAGGGGCTGGGCTCCGATGGGCGGAGCCAGCAGGGAGGGGAGGGTCTGGGCTCCGATGGGCGGAGCCAGCAGGGAGGGGAGGGGCTGGGCTCCGGTGGGAGGAGCAGCAGGGAGGGGAGGGGCTGGGCTCCGGTGGGAGGAGCAGCAGGGAGGGGAGGGGCTGGGCTCCGGTGGGAGGAGCAGCAGGGAGGGGAGGGGCTGGGCTCTGGTGGGCGGAGCCAGCAGGGAGGGGAGGGGCTGGGCTCCGGTGGGAGGAGCAGCAGGGAGGGGAGGGGCTGGGCTCTGGTGGGAGGAGCCAGCGGGGAGAGGAGGGGCTGGGCTCTGGTGGGAGGAGCAGCAGGGAGGGGAGGGCCTGGGCTCCGGTGGGAGGAGCAGCAGGGAGGGGAGGGCCTGGGATCCGGTGGGCGGAGCCAGCGGGGAGGGGAGGGGCTGGGCTCTGGTGGGAGGAGCATCAGGGAGGGAGGGGCTGGGCTCTGGTGGGAGGAGCCAGCGGGGAGAGGAGGGGCTGGGCTCTAGCGGGTGGAGCCAGCAGGGAGGGGAGGGGCTGGGCTCTAGCGGGTGGAGCCAGCAGGGAGAGGAGGGGCTGGGCTCCGGTGGGAGGAGCCAGCAGGGAGGGGAGGGGCTGGGCTCTGGTGGGAGGAGCCAGCGGGGAGGGGAGGGGCTGGGCTCCAGTGGGCGGAGCCAGCAGGGAGAGGAGGGGCTGGGCTCCGGTGGGAGAGGCTGGCAGGGAGGGGAGGGGCTGGGCTCCGGTGGGAGAAGCCAGCGGGAAGGGGAGGGGCTGGGCTCCGGTGGGAGGAGCCAGCGGGGAGAGGAGGGGCTGGGCTCTAGTGGGCGGAGCCAGCAGGGAGGGGAGGGGCTGGGCTCCGGTGGGCGGAGCCAGCAGGGAGGGGTGGGGCTGGGCTCCGGTGGGAGGAGCCAGCAGGGAGGGGAGGGGCTGGGCTCTGGTGTGAGAGGCTGGCAGGGAGGGGTGGGGCTGGGCTCCGGTGGGAGAAGCCAGCGGGAAGGGGAGGGGCTGGGCTCCGGTGGGAGGAGCCAGCAGAGAGAGGAGGGGCTGGGCTCTAGTGGGCGGAGCCAGCAGGGAGGGGAGGGGCTGGGCTCCGGTGGGCGGAGCCAGCAGGGAGGGGAGGGTCTGGGCTCCGGTGGGAGGAGCCAGCAGGGAGGGGAGGGGCTGGGCTCTGGTGGGAGGAGCCAGCGGGGAGGGGAAGGGCTGGGCTCCGGTGGGAGGAATCAGTAGGGAGGGGAGGGGCTGGGCTCTGGTGGGAGAAGCCAGAGGGAAGGGGAGGGGCTGGGTTCCAGTGGGAGGAGCCATTGGGGAGAGGAGGGGCTGGGCTCCGGTGGGAGGGGCCGGCAGGGAGGGGAGGGGCTGGGCTCCGGTGGGAGGGGCCGGCAGGGAGGGGAGGGCAGGTGGGCAGACTCAGGGCTCCATGTTCTGCACACAAGTGTGGACAGCCTGAGGTGGAACCCTCCATGCCACAATAAAACAGAGCTGTCAGGAGTGTGCCCTCTGACCTGGAAGGGGTTAGAAGTCATGGGCCTCCACAGGCCGGGACTCCTCCCCCATCCAGATGTCACCCCACGCAGTTAACCTGTTCCAGGGTGCCCAGCCCCACCCAGAAGGACCGCCGCCACTCGGTGACTGACCACTCATGAGTTTGGAGACCACTCAGGCTCCCACCAACATGGCAGGTGCCGGGGCACCGATGGCTACTCTGTCCCCTCCCCAGCAGCCAGCCCAGGCAAACGGAGCCACTGCGCACCGTCCTGAGGCTGATGACGGGAAAGGGTGGGCAGGGCCATTGATTTGGCGGGCAGCCTCCAGGGGGACCTGCTTCTGGACACATCACTCCTTGCGGGCGAGGCCGGGCCATCAGGTCCCGTTTGGCTCCTGGGCGTGATGTGTGTGTGCCCAGAACACACCCAGCTCTCACCTACTCGTGTGGTGTGAGCCAACGCCCTCCACCAGGGCAGGGCCGGGCCGGGCCCCCACACCAGAGGCTCAGCAAAGGTTGAATGAGTTACCCCGTGTGTGCTCCAGCAGGGAGAGCCTCCCGAGGGTCTGGGGAGGGGGCAGCACAGGAGGCGAGCGGCCTCCCTCAGCCCACACCAGGCCGGCCCTCCCAGCTCTGTGCGGGCCTCTCCTCTTGTTCATGTGTGTGCTTTCACACACACACACACACACACACCAGATACACACATTCACTCGGAAGGTGACACCCACAAACCCACGGTGTTGCTGCTATCACTCCTACTCATTTACAGCGTCAGCTGAAGCCGGGCCGGTGTGTATGAGCCCATGAAGTCCTGCGCTCAGCAGAGCAGGCACACGCACGCACGCACACACACACGAGCCCCTGTGCAAACGTGTATTGGGTACACTGCTGGCTAGGGAGGGCAGGGGCGGCTCCCACCACGCTGCACCTGTCTGCTATCCGGGGGTGCCCTTCTGGTCTTGTGAGCCACAGGAAGCTGGGCCCGGGACAGCATGACCTGCGCCCCGGCTGCCGCTCCTCCCTGGGAGGTCTCAGAAGCAGGGCCGGTGCACCTGCTGTTTCCAGAACCCAGCAGCACCCAGAGCAAAGGCGCAGACCTTGGCTGCCAGGGCAGAGCCTGGAGGCCAGGACCTGGGGACGTGGCCGCAGCTCTGTCCAGGGTGCTGATCGCACGATTCCCGCGTCAGTCTCGCCCCAAGCAGGGAAGCGGGGCGGTGGGGAGAGCTGCGCCCCTCTGCTCTGGCCCAAGCAGGTCCCGGGGAGGATCGCCTCATCTCTGGGCTCATGCGCAATGGGCACCCAAGCCAACAGGTGGAGTGCAGTGCCCCTCGGCCTCTCCCCGCGGGCCTGCACTGCCGGGACCGCGGTGACCCAGGGGCTTGTGGCCACAGGAGGGTGGCTGAGGACACAGAGCAGCAGCAGCCCTCCGGAGCTGGAGAGGAAGAGCAGAAGAGCAGCGGGGTGTGGAGCCCGCTATGCCCCGGGCTGGGGGCTGGATAGACTCTGGGTGAACTGAAAGGGCAGAAGAGGAGCCAGGGTCGGGAGAATGAGGGAAGGAGGAAGAGGAGGATGGAAAAGTGAAGTCAAGAGAGGGAGAGGGAGGGGAGAGAGAACAGGAGAAATGTTAAACACCTTCAGGGCCAGCGCAGCTCCCGGAGCCCTGGGAACGGGGAGGCCTGCCCCCTCCCTCCACTCCCAAATGTAGCCCCCATGGGGCTCTCCCAAGACCTTTGGTGGCCATTTTGGCAGGACAGGGACAAGGTGAAGGTCCCTGGCTGCAGGGACGCGTTTGACACTCCCCTTGTGCCTCCTCACCCCCACGCCACCCTGACCGTGAGCTCTTCTCTTCCGTCCTTCCTTGGGAGTGAGTGGGGGTTCAGGGCTCACCCCGGTCCCCTGAGCCATATCCACAGGGTCATGGCTCACATCCATCGAGAGGCCAGGGCTGCTGGGCGGGGCAGGTCACCCCCTGCCCCTGGGAGGTGGGCTTTACCCCCCCACGCTGCTGCTTCAAGGGGGCCTCAGGTGGGGCTGGGGTCACAGAGCTGACCACAGCTGGGAGGGGCCTGGGCTGCCCTCACCCCATTCCACCCCCTGGGCGGGGCGAGAGTGCGGTTCTACTTGCAAGTCTCCAGGAAAGAGCTCAAATTCCAGCTGCTGGCTCCTCACAAAGCCGCTCATTGTTTCTACTCCAGTGGCTGCTGCCCCCCCCCCCCAACTCTGAAACTTTTGCTCATGTATCCAGGGAGCTGTCCCAGGAGGAGGCGGGTCAGCACTGCTCTGGGGGGGGGGGGGGGTCATGCCAGGGGAAGAGGTGGACCGACAGCAAATCAGGATCAGTTACCCAGGCCAGGTCCTCCACTCGGGGCTGCTGCAGACACAGTGCCAACCTGGGCAGCCAGTGTGTGGCAGAGCCAGCCGCCCTGGCTCGGATGCTGGTCACCGCAGGACCTTGGATGCGTTGTCATGTCCCTAAGCCAGATCCTGCATCTGCAGTAGCACAGGGCTAGCTTCCTAGGGTCCTTGGAGGATAAAACAAGCGGAAGCAGCTGAGCCTAAGCATACAGCAGGTGCCTACTAGAGCTGGGGCCCTGCTTGGCCCATGCCTGCAGTGAGCCCACGGGGAGAAGCTCCCTGCACAGGCCTAGGCTGGCCCGGGCTGGGTAATGTGGATCTCTGGGGTACGGGGTGAACCCAGCCCTCGCTGGGTCAGCTCTCATGGAGTCGGGAAACAAAGCAGAAGCCAACCCCCAAACAGCGTGAACTAAGAGGGCAAATGGAGCGCTGAGGGTCCCACAGAGATGGTGCAGATGAGCAGCCGAACAGGAGGGAGGCAGTTAGGGGTGTGACGATGGTAATGGTGGTGCCAACGACCCAATTAATCATCATGGATGATGGTATTGGCATCTGGCGGCGGTGGTGGTGATGTAGTAGAAGCAATGCTAACAGTGGTGATGTTGGTATTGGGTGGTGGAAACGGTGGTGGTGATCATAGTAGTTTGGTGATGGTGCTGGTAATGGTGGCGGCGGCAGTGATGATGATGGTGGTAGTAGTGAGTGGTAACGACGGCGGTGGTAGTGGTGGCGATGGTGTTGGTAATGGGGATGTGGATTGTGGTGGTAATTAAGAGGATATATACATGGAATAAGCTCTTGTGTGCCCGGGTTACCATGCCAAGCCTTTGCCCGTATTCCCCTGTTCAGTCCTCTCTCCAAGCCTGTGAGGCAGATAACACTATCTCCATTTTAAATACAGGACAGCTGAGGATTAGAACGTCCTCCAAGGCCTACAGGTGGTCAGAGGTGGGCCAGGCCTAGGGCTGGCTGGATGAGGCCGAGAGGAAGAGGAAGGGGCTGGCAGCCAGGGGGCTCCTTAAAAGACTGCAGGAATAGCCCCGAGCCTCACTCTGAGCAGCTAGGGAGCGGTGAGGTCAAATCTTTGTAAGACCCCTCCGCACTGTTGGAGGTGGAGACCATGAAGGCACCTGCTCATCCCAAGGGGCTCGGCCTTTCCTGAGCGCCCTGGGCTCCTGCCAGCAGCCCAGTGGGGTGTGACTACACCCAGTACCTTGGAGCCCTGGCCATGGGCCGTCTGGCTCCACTGGTGCTGGCTGCCCCAAGCAGGCTCTTGTGTCCACACTGGCCACCCACCAGCTGTGCCCTGTACCGTGAGGCCTGGGGCCCCTCAGGCACGGGGTAAGGTGCAAAGGTTGCACCATGAGCTCCCACGGGCGCCTCGGCCCCACAGGCCCCAAACCACCCTGGTCTCTGTGCTGAGCCTTGGCAGACAATGGCCTTTTGCAGCAGATGGATGTCATCTTGGCCAGTGGGCCAGGGTCACTGGATGCTCAGTGAAGAGGACCAGGCAGGGCTCACGCCCCAGACTGGCCACTGGGGGACGTAAGTCAGGATGAACGCAAATGCCACAGCAAAGGCTGAACACAGAACTGCAGCTGAACCCCACACAAGGCGGGGACCATCCCCTGCTGAACTAAACCCTGGAGCACCATATTCTACACTCAGGACGCGATCCCTAACGACCTGACCCCCTAAGCACCAGGAAAACCTCAGGCTACATGGGGAAGGCAGGTAGCTGCCACCCATGCCAAGACGATGCAGATGCGGGAATTCTCTGATAGAAATTCAAGAATGTATTATTAAACAAGAAAAAAAAAAAAGGCTGGGCACAGGCGGCTCACACTATAATCCTAGCTTCTGAGAAGGCCAGGATCAGGGCACCCTCATGGTTCAAGGGGAAGGAGCAACATGCAGAAACACAGCTCACATCCCTACCTCACAGCATATACAAAACCTAACTAGAGGTCTAAAACAGAAACAACTTAGAAGCATTAAGCATGAATGTTGGTGACCTCAGATATGGCAAATTTCCCAACCGTGAAACCCAAAGTAACATAAAGAAAACACTGACAAATTGGACTCCAAAGAAATTAAAGCGTGCTATAGATTTTTGTTGTTGGTTGTGGGGCTTGAACTCAGGGCCCAAGCGCTGTCCCCGAGCCTCTTATGTTCAAGGTTAGTGCTCTACTACTTTGCAGCACAGCACCACTTCCAGTTTTTGAGTGTTTTATTGGAGTAAGAGTCTCACAAGGACTTTTCTACCCAGGCTGGCTTCTAACCTCAATCCTCCCATCTCAGCCTCCTGAGTAGCTAGGATTACAGCTTGAGCCACTGGCACCCAGCACCCTATGATAATTTAAGACAAAATGTGAACAGGCAACACAGTGAATGCGGGAAAATGCTGCATACCGTAGGGTACAGGTCTGACTCCCAGAGTACAAACACAAATAACTTTTCAACTCAAAAACATAATTTGACTTTACAATGATCATCTGGTTAGACTAGCCATTTCTCCAAAAAAAAAACAAAAAAAACCATGCATGTGGCTGATGAGCATATGGGAAGGTTAGCATCAGTCGTCAGAGAAATGGGCATGGGACTGTGGTTCTCGGGCACGCAGAGCACTAGGCAGTGCCCACTGGGCTGGCCTGCCCGTTGCCTGCATCCTGGCCACTCGGAAGAACCTGGCCTCTCAGGTGTCAGCGTCTGCAGGGAGAGGCCCGTCATGAACACCCTCCACTTCAAGACTTGGCTCGGAGCCGGGCGCCAGTGGCTCACACCTGTAAATCCTAGCTACTCAGGAGGATGAGATCTGAGGATCACGGTTCAAAGCCAGCCCGGGCAACAATGCTGTGAGACACTCATCTCCAATGAACCACCAGAAAACTGGAAGCAGTGCTGTGGCTCAAGTGGTAGAGCGCTCACCTTGAGCTGAAGAGCTGAGGGACAGCGCCCAGGCCCAGAGTTCAAGCCCCACGACTGACCAAAAAGAAAAAAAGAAAAGCCTTGGCTCAGCTGTCTCCCCACTGCTGACCTGCTAAGAGCCTCAGGCAGGGCCCCGCTACCCCTCTGCCCCTGCCCTGGGGCCGTGGCCTTGTGGGAAAGCAGAAGTCTGGCCAGCCAGTCTCAGAGGCCTCTAAGGCACACATTTCGTCCTAGTGGTGTGGATATTTGGGATTCCACAGGAGCCCCATTGAACTTTCCAGAAAATATTTCCTGCTCAGCAAATTCCTTCGAGCCTCCTCTGAGATGCATCTTCCTCCTGCACGGCCCCTCCCTCTCCCAGGGTTCATGCCCACAAATATCTCTGGTCAACTGGGAAAGCAGGAGGGGCTCCCTGGAGCAGCTGGGAGGTGGGGGCTCCAACCTTTGGATGGGATTCCCTCAGCTCATCTGTGGGGAGAAAGAGCCCCCATGGGCCTAACCTGGCCCGTCCGACTCAGGCCGTTTTGCGTCCAGGTGGCGTGGCTCAGGGGACCCCACAAGGTCAGACATGTATCCCAGCCCTCACGCACATCGCAGGACTTTGCACCTCAATCCTCTGCGTTTGCGTGGGAGGACACAGGCTGAGCCGGGGCAGCAGAACCTCCGGGGGCCTTGCAGCATGTCCTCTCGGGAGGGGCCCTGGCCCCCTGGGACTCCAGTGCCGGCTGAAGGACCTGTGGAGGGCAGGGGCAAAGCAGCAGCTCCCACTGCTGCCGGCTGCAGGGTCTTTCCCCTCACCCGAGGTTGGGCGCCAGAAGAACGCGGGGAGAGGCCACGGGCCTGGGCTAGCCAGCTTCTCAGGGAGGACGCAGCCCCTCTGGTCCAGGGAGGGCACTCTGGCCCCCTGGCACTGGGAGGGGCCTGCGGGCCCCGAGGACCAGGCTGGATGCAGCATGGTCCCCACTCCCACTCAGGGGGGACCACCCAACAACTCTGCGACCATCACCACATGGACTCCATGCGGGAGTCTTGTCTCCAGGCAGAATGACGCCCCCAGGGCAGCCCGGCCTCGCCAGTTCTGCAGAGGCTTTGGAGTGTGACCCATCCCACCCCGACTCCCAACCGCAGCCCAACCCTCATGGATGTGGACAGTGGCCCGGCCCCACTGCCCGGGCTAGCCAAGCAACTGCTCAGACCCGAACCTCTGCTTGTGCTCCCAGCCAGAGGCCGAGCCTTGCTGAGCGGCCGCTGCCTTCCCAGCCTGCGCTCCCTTGGCACGGGAAGTGCACACGCAGCACTTGGCCGGCCAACCACAGAAAGAGCCTGGGCCAAGGGGCGGGGGTGGGGGGCAGGCGCGGGTCACTCCGGGATTCCAGCACCCAGCAACCGTCCAGAACTAAAGACTAATCGGGTCAAATGAGCAACGGAGGGGAGTGGGTCCGGGCCAGGACACAGGCGGGCGCAGAGCCCAACTCCTGCCTCCTGCCAGTGTGGGCAGCGGCCGTGGCTCTCGCCTTGCTGACCAGGCCGCCAAAGACGCAGGGGGCGCAGCAGTGGGCATGCGGACCGGGGAGGGAGGGAGCCGAGGAATCCTTCTGCTCCCCGTGCCTGGCGCTCATGGGGGGCCAGCAGGTACTGAGGGACGCCCCTGGCCTCCTCACAGCTCGGAGAGGGCGGCCTGGCCGGAGCACGCGTGAGGCGCCGTGTGGAGCACTCCTGCAGGCGGAGTCCAAATCCTAGGAGCACCAAGAACCAAACAAATGACAAAACCATTTAAGGTGGAAACGCCATTTCTGGGAGGTCTTCTGGAGCAGGGGAGGGGAGACGAGGTGGCAGCGTCCAGTCCGACGCCAGCAGGCGCCCAGGCACCTTCTCTGCACTCCCTGATCCTCATGGCACCTTTGCCAAGAAGAAGCCTGGGCAGCCCAGCCTGCAGCTTGTGCTGCCCTGGTCTCCACAGGGCTGCTGTGGAGATGTGCTGCAAACACACGCTGGCCGATAGGAGGCAGCCGCACGGAAATCGGGCTGTGAATAAAACAAGCCCAGCAACCTGGGGTGTCCCAAGTTGGGGAGTGCCTCTGGCTTCTGGCTGTGTATCAGGAATTCAGAGGAAGCAGGGCAGCCAGGAGCACAGCCTCTAGGCCCGGCCTCCGTGGGCCGGCTCACGGGGTGGGCCCGTGCTTCCTGCTGTCCGGGCCGGCCGCAGCTCCCCAGGCCCATGGGCAAATGGGCAGCTGGCAGCAGGCAGCACACAGCCATCCGGGTGGTGAGTGAAGAACCAACACAGGCGGGTCTTGAAGGCCCCCTGCCGCCTCTCCCTCTGTGGCTCTCGTCTCCAGTCTCGAATGCGAACTCGCCCGTGCAGAACTGAGGTTTGGAACAAAGACACAGCCACAGCTTTAACCCAGAAAGTCTCCAGTGCCCGGTCCTAAGCCCCCACCACACAGGAGCCCCGGGGCACGACGCAGGACCTGGCTCTGTGGAGGCCCCAGTCCCGGTCCTGGCGGGCGAGGCAGGTCATCAGGCAGGAGGCAGGGAGGCTGGGCGCCCCACCGGGCCTGGGGGACCAGCATGGCTGGGCCCTCACGCAGGAAAGCAGGTGCTAGGTGGCTGGTCTTCAAGGGCACTTCACAGGCAGGTGCCAGGCAGGCTGGGCTGCCTCCCATGCCCCAGCCCCCACACACTTGGTCCATGCACCCGTCCACCAACAGCCCTCAGGACCCGAGGCAGACTCCCCAAGAAGGACATCTGCAAAACCAGTGACAGACAGGCGGGCTGCTGGCAGAATCAGCCATGGGGGGGCTGGTGCCAGAGAGGCTGTTGTGGCTGAGGCGGACCTCAAAGCAGGGTGTGTGTGGAGGGGAGGGGTGCCCAGGAAGGAGGCCCACACAGGCCGCCTGTCCCCCGAGAGGAGGGGAGGGATCAAAGCACGGGATGACCAGAGTCAGGAGCAGTCCAGGGCTTCCTCTCGGCTGTCTGATCCTCAGAGGACAGTGGGGCCTCAGGAAACCTGGCCAAAGAGGCCCGATCCTTCCTGCTTCCCCTGGCAGCCGCAGGGCTGCCTGCAGACAGCGCGGCGGGGAGGAATAAAGGCACCTCTGAGCCGCCCGCCCTCACCCACTCCCGTGCTCCTGCGGGGGGGGTGAGGGGAAGGGTGGGGGCAGCGGGGGGGGGGGGGACAGGCCCATGGGCAGAGGTGGCTGACAGTAAATATTTGGCCCTGTTAACCACAGGCCTGGGATGCCCCCGGGGACGCCAGCCTGCTTCCTGGCCTGCCATCCCCAGAGCGGCAGCTCGGGGGACACAGGACACAGCCTGGCCACTGTGGGCACGGGACCCTATGTGGCAACACCCCCCACCCCTGCCCAGAGGCCGCTCTGCAGGCAGCGACCCTCCAAGGGGCTTCCACCCCAGACCCCACCCTGCTGGCTTAGGGATTTCTAAGGACACTGGGAACCCCACAGAGGCCGCCCAGGCTGCCAGCACTGCCGGGCTCCTGCCCTAGACCCCATCCAAGGCAGGGCGTGCCGGCGCCACAGGGGCTGCCCCAGGAGCACAGGCCGCCACCAGGCTCTCCTTGAGAAGTGTGCCCTCCACTTTGCCATGGATCACAGGAACCAGCACCCGCTTCTTGCGCTCACTTGTGTCTGACCTTCCGCTCCCACTGGGGTGCCAGCACGCGGCGGGGCTGGCTCAGGCCTCCTGCCCCGCTCAGAGCAGAGTTGTGTGGATAAAGAGGGCCCCGGGCACTGCAGTGGGACCCCGAGGCCGGAGCCCTGGACACCTCCCCCGCCCCCACCCCCGGAGCTGTGTCCACATCTTCCAGGTGGGGCAGGAGGGGGGTGAGTCCTGTGAGCAGAGCCGGCCAGCACTGGGACAGGAGTCCTTGCCTCCCCAGGACAGCTGCCCTCAGCCCAGGCCCCAGAGGCACACAACCCGGTCAGCACTCACGGCCCACACCACACACTGCTCACCACCAGCCACACTGTAGCTCACACCTGTAATCCTACTCAGGAGGCTGAGATCTGAGGATTGAGGTTCAAAGCCAGCCCAAGCAGGAAACTCTGTGAGACTCTTACCTCCAATAAACCACTCAAAAAAAGCCAGAAGTTGCACTGTGGCTCAAGCGGTAGAGCGCTCACCTTGAGCAGCAGCAGCTCAGGGACAGTGCCCAAACCCCAGGACTGGCAAAACAAACAAAACAAACCCCATTAAGCAAAAAGCCAGAGCTGCCTCCCACAGAGCAGAGGCCAGTGTTGTTACATATTTTTGCTGGACTCTTAGAAGGAAAGTTATGCACTGCCTCCCACACAGAAGCCATTCCAAAACTAACCATGCCCCCGCCCACCCAAAGCAAGACACGTGCTTGCTCCTAAGGAAAGAAGTTACTCCTTCACGAATTCAAAGGAAATGTGCTGGAAGCAGGGCCCAGCGGCCCGGGGCTGCAGTGCTTTCATGGGTTGAAGCTTTGTGGAAGGAAGTGCAGATTCCAGGAACCGCTGCCTAGCTTGGCTGGGCCACAGACTCGGTTCCAGCAGCTTCTTCCTGAGGGTCACCTTGGGTCTTCTTCCACCCCCACCTCCCCACACCCCAGCTCCAGCCTGCACCCCAGACTGCCCACCCTCCCAGCACCACCAGCGACTTCTTCCTGAGGGTTGCCTTGGGTCTCCTACTCCCCTACCCCCTCCCCCCAGCTCCGGCCTGCTCCCCAGCCTGCCCACCCCCAGCACCAGCAGCACCCACCCAAGTGGCAGCTGCTACCAGGAACCTAGTTCAGCTGCCAATGGCACCCGGCCTGCCCAAGGCAGTGTGCAGATCTTCAGAGGTGCTTGCACACACGGGGCTGAGCAACCTGTGCTCACACCCAGACAGCAGCTCGTGTACACTGTGTTGGGAGGGACACACGGTAGTGCATGCACATGCTCCGCACACAGAATCGTGGCGGCCTCTCCAGTTCCAGTCTAGGGCCATGGGCAGAGGCACAAACAGCGGTGCCTCTGACAGCGACCTGTCCCTGAACGAGCCCCCAGGCTGCTGCCCAACCTCCTCTCTGGGCCTCAGCACCAGGCTGAGGGCTCGCGCATCCCTCGGTCCTGCATGCAGAAGGCTGGGTCCACCTCGGGACAGACATGGAGAAGCTGGTGCAGGCCGCGGGCAGCTTCCTCCTACTGCCTACAACCACAGAGCCACGAGGTGGGGCAGAGGGGCGAATGGGAACCTGAGCCAGAGTGCAGCAGGCCCAGGGCGGGGACGTGGAGGCTGCCCCTTCCCACCCTGCTGGGCCACCTGGCCCACCCCCAGCCCAGCCAGTGCTCCCCTCCAGCATCGCTGGTTCTTCTCACCCTGTTCCTACATACGCATGTGAGTGTGGAAATCTGTGAACCCCCTGTGCATGCCAAGGTACCAGCCTCAGTGCACACCCAGTCCCTCACCCAACTAGAAACCCAGCTCAGACTGTGGAAGCGCCCCTCATCCTGCTGGCCCTGCACTTGGATCCTGCAGGTGTCCAAAGGCGCAGTGTGAGCCCACCCCAGCCACATGACTTTCTGATGGCAGCAGGAGAGCAGCCTCTGCACCAGAGGCCGTGGCAAGGCCAGGAAGGAAGGGCAGCCTCGGCCCACCCCGGCAGCCACGGCAGAACGTTGCAGGCTCCGCCACGACCCCTCGAGCAGCGGCTCTGGGCCCTTGCAGGCAGGGCGGCCATCCCGCGCTCACCTTCAAACACCTGGTGGCTGTTTCTGAGCAGCGTCTGCAGGCCTCCACACTCCTGCTTCAGCCTCCGCAGGGTCGCCCTGTCCAGCTCCCCGGCCACTTCTGCCAAGGAGAGGCTCTCTGTTGAAAAGTGGGCGTGCCCAAAGAAGGGATTACACACCATGGTGTGATGCAGCAGGACCAGAGGTCCTCAAGGAAACCCTGTCGGTAACTTCTCAATGGAATCCACACCTGACACAAGCCACCGCCCGCCTCGCCCTGACAAACTGTCTAAAGGGAGGAGGTCACAAAGCCTCAGGCACCGCCCAGGAGAGGGTCTCCACTGCTTCAAAGTCACGCTCCAACTGCCTGAGGGGAGAACAAACGGGGGGGCGGGGACAGACACCAGCAGCCTGGGACCCTGAGACGGACGACCGTTTCCAGGTCCTGCACCTTCTTCCAGTGGCCTTGGCTTCCTCTTGGTGAAGTCAACTCTTCACTACCTTCCAGTCCCCGTGTTTGCTGTTCTGACTTTGAACCCACTAGGCTCCTGCAGCTCCACCAGGCCGCCCAAGCCTGGGGTTGGCTCAGCCTCCTCCTTAAAGATCCCCAAAGTCTGGGGATGGCTCTGCCTGCTACCTGGGGACCCCCAAAGTCTGGGGGTAGCTCTGCCTGCTACCTGGGGACCCCAAAGTATGGAGATGGCTCTGCCTGCTACCTGGGGACCCCAAAGCCTGGGGGTGGCTCGGCCTTCTCCCCGAAGAGGGAGGGAGGGTATCAAGGCATCAGTGACATGCCTGCCAGCCACAGGACCCCGGGGTGCTCAGGCCTGGACTCCTGAGCAGACACGCGACTGGAGAACACACTTGCAGGTCCTGAGCTACACGTTACGTGCGCAGAGAGATGACAGAGATGGAGGGGGACACGGACCCGCCAGTCACTCGGCAGGTGACATGGCTCGGGGAGGAGGGTGTTGCCGCTCCACTGACTCCTGTGCCGGGGAGGAGCCAAGAGGCAGAGGTGGGGCACAGCTCACACTCTGGAAGCAGCAGGGGGCCCACACCGCCCTCTGGCGGCCAAGGGAGCTTTCTGGAGGTTTCCAACTGGAATCTTTACAACTGCCCTGGGGTTCCCTCTGGCCCCGCTTTTCTGGAAAGCCACTGGAATTCGAGGGGGTGGGGTGGGAGGCTTTGCAGCTGAGTTAAAGTATCAAATTTGTATTCAAGGGGACAGTGCATCTTTCTAGCATCTGGTGACCAGTTTTCTGGCTGTGTGATTTCTAGATTTGAGATGAGCCGTCATGATCAACCCTGATACCTCTGTAAGGTTAAGGATCAAAGGCCACCCCCAGTCCTCTATGCTAACAGGACTATAAAGACAGCTGTGAACAGCGTGCTTGCAGATGGCACATTCACTCTACCCCGGGTCTATTTAGCTACCAGGAGGTCGGGAGTGAAGCTGTGGCGTGTACGGGCCTGGGCAGGGGAGGGCCACGACCCACCTCCGCTGTTCCAGGCCTTCACACTTCCTTCTTGAGAACCCGTTGGGTTTAGCTTCTTTCCACCTAACAGCAACTCTGCCACTTGCAAAACCACCTGGTCAGCAAAGCCTGGAGGGAGGGTGGCACAATTCCTTGGGCGCTGGGCTCTCTCTCTGGGGCGGAATCCAGGCAGCCAGGGCCGGCCAGCAGTGGCAGGGTCTTCGGCTCCCCGCTCTGAGGGCCTGGCCTCAGCCTCACCCTTGGCCCCCACACCCGAGGCTCTGGAACCATCTTGGAGGCTGCTGCCAACCACTCGGGGTGCAGGAGAGGAATGCTGGCCACCAGGAGGGCTCGTGGGGCAGCCTTGCCGGCCACGAATGTACCGGGTCCTCTGCTCATCCATCCAGGCCTCTCCAGAGGTAGGGTAAGTTCTGGATTTCCCAATGAGACAGACCTGTGCTTGAAAAGAGGGCAAAATGGGATTCGAGTAGGCTCATGGGTTAATTCAAAGTTCTCCACTTGCTCTGGAGTAGTTGGTCATGAAAAACATCCTTTCTGAAATTCTTTGCAGTATTGGGGGTAGAGCCTAGGCTTCGTGCATGTTAGTTAAGTGCTCTGCTACTGAGCTACATCCCTAACCCCAAAGTCCCAACTTCAAAAACTAAAACCATGGTAAGTTATTTAAAAATAAAAACCTAAGTGTCTATTCTGACTTCGCAGAAGGCTGAGATCTAAAGGATCACAATTGAAGCCAGCCCAGTCAGTAAACCCTGTAACCCTTCATCTCTAAACGAATCCCAGCCAAAAGCAGGCTGGAGATGTGGCATATCAGACAAGTAAGTAGGCCTTGAGGTCAAACCCCAGTGAAACACAGAGAGACAGCTAAAAATAAAAAAGGACAACAGTGAACAGCCCCGGCAAGTGCCATCAATGATTTACAACCTGCCAACTATTCACTTACTGAGTTTAGCACCTGCACCCTAAAAATGTTCCATTCCTGTCTGCCCTGACCCAAGGCGCAGACCCTTCTACTACTGAAGCATTATCCAAGGCAGAGGGTGAGGCCTTACGTCAACCTGACAGAACAAAGATACATAGGAGCCTGGCAGGGGCCTCAGGAAGGTGGAGACTGTCCCAGCAACCTCGTGGGACATCTCAGGTCTGCCCCTCCTCCCTGGCATGGCCCACAGAGCCAGGAAGGCTGATCTAGCCATAGCCTCTGAGCCGCTGCACCTGCTCCATTGTGGCTTACACTGCAGAGCAGAGCAGCACCTGCCTTTGGCCCTGGGCACGGCTCAGATCACGTATAAGGCATGCGCATACCACGCTGCCCTCAACACCAAGCCCTGCAGCTCTGATCAAGTGAGTCCATGGTTTTTTGGGCCAGCACCACAACTTGTGCTCTCCCTAGGCTTTTTTGCTCAAGGCTGGCATTCTACCACTTGAGCCATTACTCCACTCTAGCTTTTTGGTGGTTAATTGGAGATACAAGTCTCATGGACTTCTCTGCCCAGACAGGCTGTAAACTGGGGTCCTCCTATCTCAGGCTGCTGAGTAGCTAGGATTACAAGTGTGGACACCAGTCCCTGGATGAGTCCATGGTTTCTTTTCCAGGCCTGACTGTGTCCACTGTGGCTCTCTGCGCCTGGTCCCAAGTGTCCTCCCTTCCCCCCAGTGCCATACCCCTCCAGGCAATGCTGTCCAGGACTCACCCTCTTGGTGGACGGGATCCGGAGGCAGTCCTCTTGGACGTGGAAGCCGCACGAGAGCCCCACTTCCTGGATGAAGTCCAGGTACTCCCGGTACTGTGTCTTCTGGCTCTGCCTCCGGCGGTATTTCCCAGCGAAGTCAAAGAAGCAGCAGGGAAGGACGAAGAAGCGGCAGTCATAGGAGGACCTAGAGCAGCGCGCAGGAGACAGAGCTGAGCATGCTCAGCACCAACATGGCAAGTGTGCCAATGACCAGTATGCCGCTTATATAAAACACGACAGCCTCCCCCAAGGGAACTTTAACATCCACATAGCAGTGTGTTTGCAGTAAAATATGCGTCTAATTAACAAAACAACTTCCTGGCCCTCCATTGTCAGCTGAGACCTGGGCTTTCCCCAGTAGCTTTTAAAAGACCTGTAGCTGGGGTTGGGAAGGTGGCTCAGTGGTAGAGCGCTTGCCTTCCATGCATGAGGCCCTGGGTTCAATTCCTCAGCACCACATAAGCAGAAAAATCTGGAAGTGGTGCTGTAGCTCAAGTGGTAGAGCACTAGCCTTGAGCTGAAGAGCTGAGGGACAGCGCCTAGGCCCAGAGTTCAGGCACCATGACTGGCAAAAAATAAAAAATAAAACAAAAGACTAAAGGAGCCTGGGTAACAAGTGCTAAGGCGCCTCTTAGCTTTAAAATGGGCTCCTGGGTCCTGCAGCATCACTGACAGTGCCCAGCCCCCAAGGGACACACTACCTGCCCTGACGCTACCAAGCCCCCACTTAGAAGAGACCAAGGTTGACGCCCAGTGCCTACATGCTTAACAGATTTTCCCTCTTGAAGACAAACCTTTGGTATTAGAGAAAAACCATCCAGAAAAAGACACACCTTTCCAAACTAGATAGAAATGTTCAGTGCTGGCCAGCAGAGATATGAGGTGAATCATACTCGTCGTTTTGCATATCCTAGCTAGCCTTCAGACGGAGCACCCCGCCAGCCGCTCACCTGGCTGCGATGACGGGCACCCAGGGCGTGAGCTCGTCTGAGTGGTTGCCAACCAGCCAGTCAACGCCAGGGAAGAGGGTCTTGTCGTCGGGGGTGATGGCACCTTCCTGGAGAAAGGCAGAGAATGAGACAGCACGGCCAGGGCCTCCGTAGCCGCCCAAGGCACTGGGAGCAAGGAAGCGACTGCCCACCGTCATGCCAGAACACAAACACTAACGGAGCTACGGGGTCGCTGAGACCACAAACTGTTTCTCTCTTGACTGAGGAGGGAGGCAGGGACTAGGAAAAATAGACAGGACCTGAACCTGAGTTCTCACTGGCAGCGGGCCCAAATGCAGGTTCTAGGAAGTTTCTGGGTGGATGGCTCCTGCCAGGGCCAAAGCAGGTGCTGGGAACCTCCAGGAAACAACTAGCACCTTGGTGCTCAGGGACCCATGCCAATTGCTTTCCTTGGGACTTCAGGGTCTTATCCAATGACACAGTATCTGGGGACTTGAAACCACCCGAGTCCTCCCACCCTGAGTGCTTCCTCCTTGTGAGTCCTCCCGCCTTGTGAGTCCTCTGTGAGTCCTCCCACTCTGCTCTCGGACCCCACACCCAAACTCCAAGCTTGACTCTGCTAACCGGTCTGAATCTGTGGTCCACATACTCAGGCCCAGAGCCTCCCGGGCACTCTTCAAGCCTGAGGTTTTAGAAGCAGTACGTATCTTACTGCAGTGTGTGCACACATGTGTAGAACAAATAAAGAATGTAAGTGGTTGAGAGGAGACAGGGGCGTCTTGAGCTTCACTTCTATGTGCACAAGAAATGGCTAGCACCCACGCGTGGTACTCTAGACCAGGCTGGGGTAAGGCTGGTATGGCAGTACTGGCCACAGGCAGCTGAGGCCACAGCCCACTACACTCGTCTTGACCTCATCTGACCTGGGCATTGAATTGTGAAAATGGAGATCCTAAAGCAAACCCACCAGCGGCACCACACCCATGGCGCCACGGGAGGGGAGCAGCTACGCCAACATGCTACCTTGTGGGCCACCACCTGCTCAATGTCTGAACAAGCTGGCCTACGAGAAGAGGCAGAGACATCCCCTGCAGAACGGCCCTCCAAAGCAGGGGCTCCCCCTTCCCCTTTCCTGTCCTCCCCTCCTGCACAACAGGCACAGGGGAGGAGGCAGGGCCTCAGCTGCAGGCCAGGTCCTGTCTTCCCTGCAACCAGCAGCTGTGCAAAATATAAAGCCCCTCCATCTGTCCTGGTCTGTCTGCTCTTCTTGCTGGTTCCTTGACTTGAACTCAGGGCCTTGTGCTCTTGCTTAGCCCTCTAGTTCAGGCTGGCACTTTATCACTTGAGCCATACCTCTAGTCCTCTTTTATCCTTGTTTCCATTTCCTGGAACTCATTTTGATAAATACTATTTTATATGGTCAGAGGCACAGAGAGCTCAGATGAACATGAATGCGGTCCTGGTAAGCAGTCTAGTTGACCCACCCAGAGGTGATGTGTTTAAACAGTTCCCACCAGGGGACAGACCCCTGTGTGGAAATCAAGGGAATGGCTAGGCCAGTACCTCTAGCCGAGTTTGGGGTCCATACATGTCCCAGATCTTCCTTCTTCGGACATCAATCCCTCTGCCTGGATGCTATAGGAATCAGGTTGAGAAATCAGAGGTTAGGCCTGGCATGGCAGGAGCAAGCCAAGGCCCTGCACAGGCGGGGCAGGAGGCCCTGGCGCTGAAGGACAGCGCACAGTCCAGCGCTCTGTGAGATGCTGTGCGGGGCACCCTGGTGGAGGCCTGCACTGCCAGCGGCCACTGTGAGTCTGAACGGAGGGGAGTCAAGGGAGCACACTAGCAAGGACAGGGCCCCACAGCTTTGGTGAAGGTCAAGCCCAGGACACTCCCACTTCCCTGCCCCAGGCCAGGCTCACTGGCTGACTCCGGACACACAAGCACAGAGGAGATCTCAGCTCCACAGGCCTCCACTCCCCTGCTCCCAAATTTCCCATCCCATGTTGGTCCTCTGGTGACCCAAGGAGAACAAATCCCCACTGAGTCCAGACCAGAGCAGAAAGAGAGGCAGGACCTGTGCTGACTTGAGAGCCTCCCGCACAGGCCCTGAGTCCGGCTCACCCCTTCACTGCACAGGATGTGGACCAAGAGGCCATTCCCACAGCCCAGGTCCACAAAGGACTGCTTCGCTGTTAATCCCCGCTCCACTCTTTCCTCTTCCCACAGGACCTGGATAAAGAGGAAATACAAAATAAAGCCAGCCAGTAAATCATTCTATTCAAGAACAATTCTAGCCAGGCATGGCAGGACCCCCTAGTAATCCCAGATACTGGGAAGACAAAGGCAGGAGAATCAACAGTTCTGATAGCCTGGACAACCTGCCAAGACCCTGTTTTAAAATAAAGATAAAAAACAAAGGGTTGGCCGGGTGACAGTGGCTCACACCTGTAATCCTAGCTACTCAGGAGGCTGAGATCTGAGGATCATGGTTCAAAGCCAGCCCAGGCAGGAAAATCTGTGAGACTCCAACTAACCACTAGAAAATTGGAAGTGGCACAGTGGCTCAAGTGGTAGAGCGCTAGCCTTTAGCTGAAGAGCACAAGGACAGTGCCCAGGCTCAGAGCTCAAGCTCCACGACTGACAAAAAAACAAAAACAAAAAACCAATGAACAAAAAACAAAAGGTTGGGGTATAGTTCAGTAGTAGTACCCCAGCCAGTATTTTCAAAACCCTGGGCTCCTCCCTAGTCCTTCAAGGAAAAAAATGAAGAATTAAGACACCAATCTCTGCTGGGATAGTGTGGAAAGATATCAGCTGGGCCCTGGGTCTCTAGGCCCAGCTGAGTGGACTATGACCAGGGCACTGGTCTGAAATGGCCAAGACCAGCCTTACTCTGGTCTGACCCTAGGGGGCACCAAAGCTTCTTCCCGATCAGGAAACCACGTTCAGAACTGGTGTGGTGGTACAGCCTATTTTTGCCCAGCAGGTATGGGGCCGTGGGTTCCATCCCCAGAGCCACCAAGTGCTCATCTCTGAGCACCAGTTGACAAATTAATGGTCACATGTTCATGCTTTCTCTATATATATCCTTAAAGTTTTGCATATTTAGATAATACAAAAGTTATACTATTAGCCGGGTACTGGTGGCTCATCCTATAATCCTGTCTATTAAGGAGGCTGAGATCTAATGATTGCAGTACAAACCCAGCCGGGGCAGGAAGGAAAGGCCCTGAAAGTCTTTTTTTTTTTTTTTTTTTTGGGGTGGGGGTCCGGTCGTGGGGCCTGAACTCTGGGCCTGGGTGCTGTCCCTCAGCTCTTCAGCTCAAGGCTAGTGCTCTACCACTTGAGCCACAGTGCCACTCCTGGCTTTTTTTTTCTTTTTGCTTATGTGGGGCTGAGGAATTGAACCCAGGGCCTCATGCATGCAAGCAAGCGCTCTACCACTGAGCCACCTTCCCAGACCCCCCTGAAAGTCTTAACTCCAATTAACCACCTAAAAACTGGAAGTGACACTATGGCTCAAAGTGGCTAAATGCTAGCTTTGAGCAAAAATGCTCAACAAACAAACAAACAAGCATATATTTATGCTATTGACCACTGCACAGTGACCTGTGGTTATGGCTATAATCTGGTCCAATCTGTTTCCCTAAAGTTCAATTTCACAGTTCAGTTTGTTTTACACCCTTGGAAAAGTACCAAGAAAGGCAAACCACCACACGTGTAACCCATGATTATGCATCTGGACAAAGTAGGGCCACCAGGAGCTGGGGACTTGGCAAATATTCTTGCTAATGGTGGATCTGCTATGGGAGCTTTTCTTTTTTTTGGGGGGGGGAGGGGGGTTCGGTCATGGGGCCTGAACTCTGGGCCTGGGCACTGTCCCTCAGCTCTTCAGCTCAAGGTTAGCGCTCTACCACTTGAGCCACAGTGCCACTTTCGGCTTTTTTCTTTTTGCTTATGTGGTGCTGAGGAATGGAACCCAGGGCCTCAGGCATACAAGGCAAGCGCTCTGCTACTGAGCCACCTTCCCAGCCCCTATGGGAGCTTTTCTACACTCATGTGAGTGTGAGTATGTGGACACTTACCAGCAGGTACGTAGCAATGGCCACGTCTTCATATACAAACTTTTCAGGGTCTGTTACTTCCGGCCATACCTAAGAAATGTTCACAAGTATGTGTAAATTACTCTTCAATAACCCCACTCCACAATACTTACAGAATCGCTGAAAAGCACAAAGTCAAACTGAACTAATTATGCAAAAAAACATAAGCCTATTCCCAAAGCACAGATTCCTAATTTCTTTTCTTTTCTTTTTTTTTTTTTTGGTGCTAGTCCTGGGGCTTGAACTAAGGGACTGGGTGCTGTCTCTGCGTTTTTTGTTCAAGGCTAGCACTCTACCACTTAAGCCACAGCTCCACTACCAGCTTTTTGGAGATAGGAGTCTCACAGTCTTTTCTGCCTGGGCTGGCTTTGAACTGTGATCCTCCAATCTTAGCCTCCTGAGTAGCTAGGATTATAGGTGGGAGCCACAATGCCTGGCCCTAGCTAATTTCTTATGATAAGAGACTGACAGGAAGAGGCTAGGAAGGTGCTCAGTGGTAGAGTGCTTGCCTTGCATACATGAGGCCCTGGGTTCAATTCCTCAGCACCACATAAGCAAAAAAAAAAGCCAGAAGTGGCGCTGTGGCTCAAGTGGTAGAGCGCTAGCCTTGAGCCGAAGAGCTGAGGGACAGCGCCCAGGCCCAGAGTTCAGGCTCCACGACCAGACCCAAAAAAAAAGAGACAGACAAGAAGACCGTCTTTATGTATCACTGGACATAACCAGTGCAATGTCACCCCATGTATTTTGCAAGAAAATGACTGTGAGCTGTTCGGACGGCCCCGCAGAGAGGGCTCAAGGTGCTCACCTGGTAACTACTGGAACACAGACAGTGGGCTAAAAAAGGCTGGCATCCACCTCCCAGTGCCTGGTGTGGGTGAGCCGGGGGTGAGCGGTGTGGAGCCAAGCCTGTGGCCTTGGGTGCTCAGTCGCACAGCAGCTGTGACAGACACCAAGACATTTCCTTCCTCCACACAGTCCACTCCGGTGCACTGCAGCTTTCTTTGTAGCTTACAGCCACGGTTGTGCTAATACAGTATCTGGCTCAGCGGCCAGTGACTTTCACACTGCAGATCTCCCTTTTGCCCTCCATGATGGCACGTGAACATGCTAGAAGGCTCACGGGCAGAGATTATCCTGGCAGAGTCTGGAGAAGCCCCTGAGTGTGTGAGGCCATCGCAGCCGTCCCCAGACGCCCCACTGTGGTTACCTTGACCATCTCTTTGTACTTCTCTTTAAGTTCCTGGTAGGTCCTGCTGTAGCTCATGATGGAAACCAGAGAGAGCGTGCTTTTGAATTCTCTCCTCTTGTTCTCCACAGCCCACCGGGCCAGCTTGCCCAGCAGCTCCTCTACAAGCCAGGTGGGTTTAGGGTGAATAACTCCATCTGAATGCCATCTCTCTGGACAGAAAATTAAAATAGACATGAACCTTTGAAAACAAGAGAAACAGGAATTAAGAAGGGCTGGTTTAAAAAAAATGGTGTTTGGGTGCAGGTTGTCCTGGGGCTTGAACTGAGGACCTGGGTGCTGCTAAGCCTTTTTTGCTCCAGGCTAGTGCTCTATTACTTGAGCCACAGCTCTACTTCCAGATTTTTTGGTGGTTAATTGAAGATAATAGTCTCACAGACTTTCCTACCCAGGCTGACTTCAAACCACAATCCCCAGATCTCTGCCTCCTGGAGTAGCTAGGATTTATAGGTGTGAACCACTGGTGCCCGGCTGTTTTTAATTTTTATTTATCGATTGTGTTTGAGTAGCAAAAGAAGAAAACAGGAAGAAAGACAATAACTACAAAATGTTTTACAATCTGGAGATGGTTACAGAACTGTCCCTTCTTGTGTGCAAACCTGCACTTCTGCCCAACCAACAGAGCGGAGAGCTGACCCCAAAGCTCCACCCCCTGCTCTACATGCCGGGTGTGCCCATCTACCACGGGCTTCCACACATCTTCCCTGTGCCACAGACAGAGGGCACACGTCTGTCTCTGTGGACTGCTCTGCAGGGGAACCACCTATGCGGCTCTTACCATTCTCCTTCCGTGCGACTGAGCTCAATTTGATACACATTGCTCATTGTCACCCTTAGGTTCCCCTCACTGTCTTCTTCCAAAGGTAAAAATGTTGCAGTTCCTCTAGAGACATCTGGGAAAAAAATGATAGGGGAGACAGGTCACCACTGCTTAGGTCAGGCCTATTGACAGCAGAATTAGCCACAGCGGTGGGTGCCTTCCATTCCTAGAATCCTCATGTTGCCGCCACAGGCCTGCTCCCAGAAACTGCAAGGCTCACATGCTGTGTCCAGGTGCCAGGGGCCGGGGGTTGGCATGAACCGACAGCAAAGAGAACAGAGCCTCTGCACAAGTGGAATACCTGCTGCAGACGACCTTCCGACAGGGGTGACTCAGAATGGTGCCCGGCCATCGCAGTCTGGCCTGTGTGCAGCCTGGCCATCCTACACTCACCTTCTCATGCAATGAGAGCGAGCAGCAGATCCTCGGCTACACTGAAGGCCCTGTATACATCTGTGTGGAAACTTAAGGCTTGATGTATTTACTTCTGATATAGGAAAATAGCAAAGTTGAAACCAAAACTGAATGTGCACCCTATTTCACAAACCAAGAAAACAGACTGAAACCACCTTCCACTGCAGGCAAAAGAACGTGATCTGTGGAGAGCAAGCAGAAGCAAAGGGCTCACTGGCTACAGAGGGAGAAAAAGGGCTGGGGAGGGCCAGGAAGTGGCAATCAAGGGCTGCTGTTGAGCAATCAAAGGGTGGGGGATGGAGGTGGGGTGCTAGGGAATCTGAATTCATCTAAATGCGTATGAATGACATCTGAGCAGAGCTGCAGTAGGTGACAGAGTGAGCCTGGGCCCAGGTCTCTAAACAGGGCCAAAAAATATACAAAAACTACAGAGAAAACCTACACTTTCCAAAAATGCTAGCACTTATTAAACACTTACCAAGAACTATTGTAAACATTTTATAACATATAATTTCACTTATCTTTCAAGAATTCTCAAGAGATTTTAAGTCTCCCACTTACAAATGAAGAAACTGAGGCACAGGGAAACCATATACCCTGCTGGTGGCCATACAACTGATGATCGGCAAAGCCAGATAAACCAGGCGGCTGTGCTCTACAGAGGACACACCTTCCGGGAGCCCAGGGCAGAAGCCTGGGGTGGACAGCTCTCACACCGGCTCTCTTGATGGAGCACCACCTCCTGAGAGGAGGGAGGAGGCACAGGGTCTCGGCCAAGGACAATGCTCCCTAGAAGCTTTTCATGTTGTGCACATTTTTGGTCACTTGAGGGTCACATTTTGGACTTGAGGGTGAGGACACAGCTGGCACCGGGTGGGCAGAGGCAGGGAGGCTGCTAGACAGCCTGCAGCAACCAAGACAGCCACATGGTGAACAAGCCACCCCGCGACAAAGAATCATCCGTGGCTGGGAAGGTGGCTCAGTCGAGTGCTCGCCTAGCACTCATGAAGCTCTGGGTTCAGTTCCTCAGAACCACATGCACAGAAAAAGCCGGAAGTGATGCAGTGGCTCAAGTGGTAGAGTGCTAGACTTGGAGCTCAGGGACAGTGCTCAGGTCCTGAGTTCAAGTCCCAGGACTGGGGAAGAAAAAAAAAAAGCATCCACATCTAGTGCTGGTGGCTCATACCAACAATCCTAGCTACTCAGGAGGCTGAGAGCTGAAGACCGAGATTGGGAGTTAGCCCAGGAAGGACAGTCCAAGAGACTGTTATCTCCTACCAAAAAAGCCAGAAGGAGCTGTGACTTCTGCGGCAGAGTGCAAGCCTTGAGCACAAAAGCTCAGGGACTGGACCCAGGCCCTGAGTTCAAGCCCCACAACAGGCAAAAAAAAAAGGGGGAAAAAAAAAGGAATCATCCAGCTCTGCATACCCTGCCTCCTTGGTATAGTGGGCACATTCTCAGTCTGCTGGGAAGATTAAGGTTATGACGGCACTGATGACAGATTTCTAGCTGGACTGGACTGGAAAATCATGGAGGGCCCTGAAGGAGGACCCAGCCTTAGGAAGGAGGACCTAGAGGACCAGGGAAGACAGCACAGGAACCTAGAGACAGGTCTCCCAAAGTTGTTTACACCCTGATGCTCAGCACTCAGCAGTGTTAACCAATGTGATTTGGGTAGCAGACCTTACGTAGGAGGGAAATCTGGTATCCCATGAGCAGTAAACAGCTGAGAACTTTGCAGGAGGAGACAGAAAAAGTCAGAGGTTCCAGGCCTGAGAAAACCCTCACCCCTCAAAACCAAGCTGTAAGAAAAACCATAGGGTGGCCTCTAGGAACTGACAGGCACCAAGGAGGAGGGACGGAGTTCTACAACCATGAAGAATGTAGTCTCGGTCTATCTGGGGGCATGGAAATGGACCTCCCTCCCAGTAGCTCCTAGTAAAAGCCATGCCTGCCAGCGCTGGGATTATGGCAGTGGGAGAGTGACCAGGGCAGGGAACCACAAGTGAGGATTTCTGACCTACAGAATTCAGAGATGGAATCAGGTTATATGGGTTTGGCCTTGAAGAGTGCAGGGAAGTTGTTACAGTGGCATCAGAAAACTCAAGGCAAACTGCTGAACCACCTTAGAGGCAGGGAGTGGCAGGTCTCAACTCAAGGTCCTGGGCAGGCAAAATGAATGTGTGAAAGTTTACCCACCCCGAGGAGTAACAGGTTTCCATCCATCCAAGTCACCAAGTTGACTCACCACTCTATCCAGAAACAGGTGCTTTCCTTTCCCTCCCTCTTCCAGACTCCTGTTTATCAGTCAACACCGAGTCCAGTCTGTGTCTTCGCTAGAATCTTTCCTGACCCCATCTGCCTGACTCCCCCACCCCCCTCAGCAATGCCCCCAGAAGCTTGCCGCTGAAGACACCCCCCAAACCTTACAGCCCCTCTGGCCCACCGCAGGGACCGGCACAGTAGGCGCCGTTCATGTTTTCCAGCTGCCCTGAAATTCGATTCGTGCATTTAGGCGAAATCGCACCTTCCACAACCCAACCTGCCCTTACCTTGCACGACCATCTCTCTCTTCGGGGCCGCGAGCCGGCACTGGGGGCTGGCTTTCGGGATGAGAGTTCTGAGAACCAGGTGGAGCTCGGCGGGCGCGGGCGGGCGCGCCGCCTCCCCAGAGCTGGTGAGGAAGGCCAGCATCTCCGGGTTGTCTCCGGCGGCGAGGCTGTGGGAGAAACGTTCCCACAGCAACTGCAGGTCCGCGGCCGGGTGGTCGCCGTCGCCGCCTCCGGCCTCCCCGCGTCCCTCTCCCCGCGGGCGGCGGCTCTGCCCGTCCTCGCGCCCGCCGCCGGCCGGGGCCGGTCCCGACCCCGGCTCGGGGTCGCCGCCGTCGGGGCAGCGCCGGCCCGGCCCCCCGGCCGCCCCGGGCCCGCGCCCCGCCGCGCCCCGCCGGCCGCCCGCGGGGTCGGGCTGGGGGCCCCGCGCCTCGGAGCCGGGCGGCGCGGCGCGCAGGCGGGCCTCGAGGCGGGCGCCGCACAGGCGCTTGTTGGCCACCTGCGGCCTCTCCAGCCACACGGCCAGGGCCGCCCAGAAGCCCTCCGGGAGCAGCGCGCCGGGGTCGCACACCCGGACGCGGCCCAACGCCACCATGGTCCCGGGCGGTCCGGGCTGGGGGCGCGGCGACGGCCGGCGCGGCGGCGCGGGAATGTGACGTGAGCGGAAGTGGGCGGGCCCTGCCGGCCCGGGTTCCTGGCCGGGAACCGGGCTGGCTGACGCTCAGGACCCGCCTTGCTCTTTTCTGCCAAGCCAAAGCAACCCGTCTTGTCAGCGGTGACCATTTTGTACCGGTATTTCCTGGAATTAGTTGCTTTCTGACTTGAGCCTGTGGCCTGCGTTCGTTTGCAGGCCTGTCAAGGCTTGCTGGGAACTCAGGTGACAGGGACGGCCTTTGGAGTGCAGATGTGTCGGGAGCTGTTAGGCCCTGCTTCCCTGATTGCCCCGGCTGCTCCCCTGGACAGTTTGCTCTGCCCACGGGTAACGCGTGTATTGTTCGCGAAATGCTAGCCCACGCCTCCCCTCTCCACAGCTTAGCACGCTCCCTTCCTAGGCAGCACCAGGCCCGCGTAGCAAAGGCAGCAAATCACCAGCCTCCAGCCCCCTCTACCTTGGGATGGCACTCCTCGGGGGCAGCTACCACCATAGAAGGCAACAAGAGCCCCTTAGATGACCTTCAGGTCTGGGCAGCTGCAGGACCCTTATCTACCATTTGGATAGCAGCCATCAATCCTAATCTGACATGATGAAGCCCCTGGCCCACAGGTCCACACCACGGTCTCCACCTCTTAGCCCCTCCTAAACCCCCTAGATTATATAGGTCACCCCAGACAATGGCGGGTGCTTCTTCTCATTCCTCCCTTGTGAGAAGGGCTTTTGCCGGCTCCCCTCTCCCTGCAATAAACCTCTCTTTGTTGTATGTACCTGGATGTTTGCATGGTTCTCTGCCAAAATCTAATTAATCTTAATTAGATTAGCTAATAAGTATCCTCATCTAGCTTGCTTGGTTTTATGCATAACACTTTCGTTAAGGTTTGGTTTCCACCCAGATGTGGATTTTGCCTTTAAATGCTTCGTGCAAGACACATTCAGGGCTGCAAGTCTTTGTGACAAGTTCACCTGCCATTGTCGGCTTTCTAATAGACTCCCAATCTGACCTCTCAAAATGTGGCTTCTCTTTTCTCTAGACTGAATTCCCATACAACAGATGCATGTTTCTTCAGAGTTGCTCATATGTCTCTAGTATCTTTGCTAGCCAGCTCTTACATATGCCACAGAAGTAGACTTTGGGGTAGCACATTCTGGCCTCACAGTTTCATTTTGGGGTGTGTAGGTACTCTGTCCTACAGAGGAGAATATTCTCTGTGTCCTTGCCCTAATAAGGTAGCTACAGTGGTTACTGTGCACTTGTAAACTGGATGGTATAACAAGGGAGCTGGTTTAAACTTCACAGGATTTATTTAATTCTGATGCATGTTTAAATTTAAACAGCAGCTTGAGTTCTTGGTGAGTGGTCCTTATGTTAGGTGGCTTAGCTTTGGAGACTCTGCAGGGGGCCTGCAGTCCCTCCCCATGCTGGTTCTTCAGCACGTAAGTGCTGGAAGCAGCGGGGGTGGGAGGGGGCACACTCTTGAGTGTCCCAGTGCCCATCCAAACATGGCTTCGGCTCCCAGCAGCAGCAGTCAGACACCGATGCCAAGATTCCTCTGGCAGCAGGCCTATGATAGTTGCCAGCAAAAACATGAGTCACTAAACAAACTACAAAGGTGGAGTCCATAGTCCATGGAGGAGGAGGCCCCAGCCTGGTCAGTCCTCCAGTGGACTACTCCCTGCAGGCCCTCAGTGTGGAGCTGCAACGGTGCTTCCGGCAAGGATGTTGTTTGGCATTCCAGAAGAGAAGCCTCCGCCTCCATAAGGACATCAGCTTAGCGTCACCAGTAACCTAATACTGACTCCAGCAGCACACCCTTGTAACCCAGGGCTTTTGGTACAAATGCTAGGATCATCTTCTCTAAACAAATGCTCCCAATGATTTAAGCCCTCCCAATGATCTAAGATTTGATCTCCTGGAGCTCCAGTGTAGCACACAGTACTTATAAGATTTGATCTCCTTTTGAAATCTGACAATCTTCTGTCTGTACCTGTCTCTTAATCACAATGGCACCTATGATTGCCCTGAAAGCTTTTGGGTTAGCTCTAGATGACCTCTCATATTAAAAATTCCCAGCAGGGGGTAGGGGGCTGGGAAGGTGCTCCGTAGTAGAGCGCTTGCCTTGCATGCATGAGGCCCTTGGTTCCATTCCTCAGCACCACATAAGCAAAAAAAAAAAAGCCAGAAGTGGTGCTGTGGCTCAAGTGGTAGAGTGCTAGCCTTGAGCTGAAGAGCTGAGGGACAGCGCCCAGATCCAGAGTTCAGGCCCCATGACCGCCGGCCCCCCCCCCCCCCCAAAAAAAAATTCCCAGCCAGGCGCCGGTGGCTCGCACTTGTCATCCTAGCTACTTAGGAGGCTGAGATCTAGAATCACGGTTCAAAGCCAGCTCAGGCAGGAAACTCTGTGACTCTTTTTTTTTTTCCCCCAGGGCTGAGGACCGAACCCAGGGCCTTGCACGCCGGGCGGGCGCCCTTCCACTGGGCTAAACCCCCAGCCCCGTGAGACTCTTATCTCCAAAAAATGACTAGGAAAGTGGAAGTGGTACTGTGGCTCAAGCGGTAGAGCGCTCGCCTTGAGCTGAAGAGCTGAGGGACAGCGCCCAGGCCCAGAGTTCAAGCCCCACAACCGACCCCCCCCCCAAAAAAAATAGAAATCCTTCACTTAAGATACAAGGTAACAAGATTCAAGATAACATTTATAGCTAGGCACTCGTGGCTCACGCCTGTAATCCTACTCAGGAGGCTGAGATCTGCAGATCATGGACCAAAGCCAGCCTGGGCAGGAAAGTCCTTGAAACTCATCTCCAATAAATCACCAGAAAACAGAAAGTGGTGCTGTAGCTCAAGTGGTAAAGTGCTCACCTTGAGATGTAGAGCTGAGGAACAGAGCCCAGACCCAGAGATCAAGCTCCATGAACAGTAAAAAAAAAAAAAAAAGATAACACTTATAGGTTCCTGGGAGATAACCTGGCTGTACTTTAGATTTGGAGTCTGTGTTAAAAGGCTTGGCCTGACCTGACCTTGGGGGACATAGTATAATCTTTAAAAAGTGGAATTTAGTAGGTGAGCTTGGATCACTGGGAGCATTTGTTTAGAAAAGATGGTGAAATCTAGATCCTTTCTCTCTGTGTTTTTGTTACCTGGCGGACATGAGGCTAATTTTGCTGTACCATACCTCTGCCAAGATGCACTGCCTCTTCACAGAAGCAACAGGCCAACCAACTGTGAACTAAAAATGCATGAGGCCCTGGGTTCAATTCCTCAGTATCACAGAAGCAGTAAAAGCCAGAAGTGGCACTGTGGCTCAAGTGGTAGAGTGCTAGCCTTGAGCTGAAGAGCTGAGGGACAGCACCCAGGCCCAGAGATCAGGCCTCATGATCAAAGGGGGGGGGGGGGGGGGGAAGAGAAGCAAAAACAAAGAAGCTGGAATTATAGATGTGTACTACCATATTGGGCTAGAACAACATTTTTTTTTTAAATGTGTGTGGGTTTTTTTTTTTTTGGGTCCGGTCATGGGGCCTGAACTCTGGGCCTGGGCGCTGTCCCTCAGCTCTTCAACTCAAGGCTAGCGCTCTACCACTTGAGCCACAGCGCCACATCCGGCTTTTTTCTTTTTGCTTATGTGGTGCTGAGGAATCGAACCCAGGGCCTCTGGCATGCAAGGCATGCGCTCTACCACTGAGCCACCTTCCCAGCCCCATGTGTGTGGGTTTTTTTGTTGTTGTTGTTTTGGCCAGTCCTGGGGCTTGAACTCAGGGCCTGGGCACTGTTCCTGATCCTCTCTACCACTTGAGCCACAGCACCATTTCTGACTTTATCTGTGTATATAGTGCTGAGGATTTGAACCCAGGACTCTGTGCATGCTGGGCAAGCACTCTACCACTGAGCCACATTCCCAGCCCCTAGAACAACATTCTTAAACAGGCACTAGGAAATGAAATTGAGTAAAATAAAAGGACCAAGATGTGTTATGTGCCCATCCTGGCAAGCAGGGCTGGAGGTCAGCAATGAGCAGGTGAAAGAAGGGAGGGGAGAGAGACGAGAAGGGAGAAAAGCGAGATGTCATTCCTGACCCTGAGTATCTGCTTCATATGTTTTCTCCACTACTGGCTGTGACGTAACCTAATCCTACCTAATTCTATAGAGAACCAACAGTGAAAAGTCACCCAACTTCTACCTATTCTCCAACTCCATGCCACAGGTTCCTCATTTCTCACCAGCTGCTCTGAGGCCTTACCTGACAGCCCTACCCTTGCCAGTGTATGCCTAAGAACATGTAATTCCTGCAGTAGATCTGGATGGTTTTGAGAACATTGTTGGGGTCATAGATACAGAATTACATTAAACCCTGGTAAAATGGGGTTGGGAAGCCATGGGAGGTAGTTCTCACGAATATGTCACTAATGGCAAGAGCTACCAGAAAAGATTGACAAAATAATAACCCTCTAAAAATTCCTTCCACTAGGAAGCCCATCCAACAGTTACCACAAGCCTTGGATGGACAACAGGCTTGTCATCAATCAATCGATGACAAGGGCATGTGTTCATGAGCATCTTGTGTAACTTTCATCTACTTTTTATTTTGAATTTGGGGCCTTGTGCTTGCTAGGTGAGTGATCTACCACCTGAGCCACTCTGCCAAACTCTCATAATCTTTTAAATGTTCTTCTGTGCCTCTGGCCCACCATGAGGTTCATATACCAGAGTACAATCCCTTGTTATTCCCAAATAAAATCTTCTTTTGAAGACACAATTTCTCTGTTGCTGATTTAAGTTGACAATTTGCAGGTAGAACAATTTTTCATAACATGTGAACCTAACTTATTAGTTGTTGTGGTTTGGGCAGATATTGTGATCTAGGAAGTAGCTGATCAGGGCCTAGCGTCAGGGCACCACTTAAACCCAATTCTCTATCTACCATGTGGCCAAGATGGCGCTGGTTAGA